ATTTTCTCAGATGTCAAATACTCGGAAAAAATCACAACTGCCAAATTTGCAGATGACGTTTCTTTTTGGAGCTCCTCGGCCTCCATTAATCTATTAAAAACAAGAATCCAATCCGTCCTAGATAACATTCAAAATTGGGCTTCCAAGTGGGGTTTCCAAATAAACAAAAAAAAAAACATTGGCATGCTATTTAAAAAACAATATATGCAAAATTATACACCCAAACTTCACCTTAATAATCAAGACATTACCTATCAAAAAGAAGCCAAGTTCCTAGGTATCACATTCGACCAACACCTTACATGGGGCCCCCAAGTACTGAAAACGGTCAATTCTTGCGAAAAAGATTTAAATTTAATGAGAGCTACCAAAGGTAATAACTGGGGGTCCGACAAACAAACCCTACTCAACATATACAAAACACTCATCCAATCAAAAATAGACTATGCCGCTCCGGTCTTAAGCGGCATCACAACCCCTAACTACAACAAACTAAAATCAATACAATACAAAGCCCTCAAGCTAGCCACCGGCACAAGGACTGGAACCTCACACAACGCCCTTCTATTAATCACCAATACACTCTCCATCAAACACCGAATCCATCAAACCATCCTCAACTACTGGGCTGGGGCCCAACACAACCCAATTTTCAAAACAATAAAACAAAAATACGACAACATCAACAAACAGACTTTACACAAATTTCAAAACACCCCCGACAAGGCACCATACATCACACACTTACATAAACTACTAATCACCCACAATCTAAACAATATAACTCCCCCCCCCCCCCCCCCCCCCCCCTCAAATCAATTCATAGCCGACCTCCCTTCCCCCCTGTAGATACTTCCCTTCACCAACGGTTCACCCCTAGCAATGGCATCCCAGCTGCGAACAAGGCCAAACTAACACGCACTCACATCCATAATAACTGGCCCACTCACACCCACATCTACACAGACGCATCCAAATCAAACAACATCACAGGCTTAGGACTACACATAGATCAAACACCCCCGCTCACTACAAATTTCAACTATAAAAACTACACAAACAACAACACCGATGAATTACTAGCCATTCTAACAGCAATACACGCCATTAAAACAATCAACCAACACAAATTCCTAATCATCTCCGACTCACTATCATCTCTTAAACAAATACAAAATAAACACTCTAAAACCCGGCCTGACCTCATTGCTAATATAATCACCCTCACCAACCAACTTAAGGAGAAAAACAAACATATTAATTTACTCTGGGTCCCAGGGCACACCAATATACCCGGTAACAACATAGCCCACACCGCAGCCAAAGTAGCCACCCAACAACCATCACTAGAAATATACTTTCACACGTCCAAGGCAGAAACTAAGAATATAATCAAGAGATCCATTAAACTCCACAACTACAATAGTATTATACAAAACTGCAACTCCGTATGGCTCAGATCAATTTTCACCCGTCCCAATTCTAAATGTCGCAACTTTAACACATCCAACCACCTAGACAACATCATTTCCAGAATTATAAGCGGCAACACAGCTCTCAACCAAACACTACACAAACAAGGAAGACATCCAGACGGAACCTGTACATATTGTAAAAATCCTGAAGACTTGTATCATATTTTTAACAGCTGTCCTTTTTACAACTCTCTTCATTCTGAACTCTATCAAGCTATCCCTCCAAACTTCAAACACAATCTTCCACTTCTCTTCAACCCCTCCAATCCCCCTTACATCTTCAACGCCATAACACAATTTATCATTAAAGCCGAACTACTCGACAAAATTTAGATCCTCCCAAATAAAACTTAAAAATCTAAATACTTTATCAGCCAGTTAACTCCTGTCACTTTCGGATCGGCATCCAAATTCTCACCGCGAGTCGTCTTCTCCGACGTCCGCGCCACCAACTCCGATATCCACACACTAAACATAGATCCTCGTTTAACCAGCCAGCTCCCGGCACAAGCCCACAACGCACGTTACCTAACCAAGCTATAACATAGAATGTACACACATACAACACGTGTTGTGATCTAAACCTGGTAATGAATGTGTTTAAATCCTATACAGCATACACATTTAGTGTATTCTATCTGAACACGCTAAGGGTTTAAACACATGTTGGTTGGTGGGTTTATTGTTTAACGCCGCACTCACCAATATTCCAGCTATATGACGGCGATCTGTAAATAATCCAGTGATTAATATCATGAGTATCGATCCACACAATTGGAATCGATGACATGAATCAACCAAGTCAGCGAGCCTGACCACCCGATCCCATTAGTCGCCTTGTATGGCAAGCATGGGTCGCTGAAGACCTATTCGACCCCGCATCTTCACATAAACTTATCTTATCACAGTCTGAACACCACCTTAACGACACATCCCCATATATATGTTTAGAATTTAAATAAAAATAAATTGCATATTATTGGGCATTGAGTGAAATGTTAATAAGATGTATTGAAAATAGATGTGCGATACGATTCGCAGGCACTTGCCATCACATATACCACCAGTAATTAAAATGAACTTGGTACAGTATTAACATAATAATGTACAAATAGACCAAGCTAAGATATATAGTAGCGACATTTGCGACGTCAACAATCACCGCTGCACTGATGGTAGAGTGAGGAACTTCAACTCAAGAGGTTGCAGGTTCGTTTCAAGCCAAGATTTTAAAATGGTTTTGTTCATAAATGTGCTGTTGCTGTACGACTAACAACATTTCTGTCATAACTGAACCTGACAATGAATGTATATTTCAATACTACGATATGCCTCCATTTATTTAAGGTTACCCCTAAACTTCTCTATTCCCATCTACATCTGATAAAAAATACATACAGAAAATGCCCTCTTTTTTACATTACCTGCAGTGAATATCAAGGACGGGGTGGGGTAAAGATTTTTTCCACATTGAAACCCTAAACACGCTTAACTGTTAAACACAATTCTAAACATGACCCATAACGCATGAAAGTTGTGGGACAAGGAACGCACGTTTGTTTGTAGGATCTAAGCACATGTTTTACAGTACAGTTGAACCATTCTTCCTCGTTGTGTGAACTGGTTCACTGCGTTCCATGGTACTTCTTTGACATAACATCAACCACTGGTTTTGCCTGCTCCAACTCTATTATTTACATATTGCTGACTGCCGCGAAAGACATGTACATGTAGACCTTATCACACATGACTTGATTGAGTATGTGTGGCCTGGCTAATGCCAGTGTTATTGTTCCACAGCGACTTCAACCTTCAACCACTTCAGATACAACTTTAATATCAAATGCACAACAAAACCTCTATTCACTCTCTCATTTTGATTCACTAATGACCTGACAATACCAGAATATTAGTCAAAATCGAGACAAGATAAAGTTTGGTACAGATGTTTTATTATAACCTTTTGGTAATGAACATGTTCGTATGCTGCTGTGTAGATCAATGCTCTGAAACAGAAATAAAGGATATATCGGTGAGTGAGTGGAATCTTATTGGAGTATCCCGGCTTTGTTTTACCAGAAATGAGCTTTATACATTGTACCAGTGTCGGGAATCGATCTCGGTTCTCCAGTGTGGTGTACATGTGCTAACGCTTTGACCATTAAGCTACCCTACTGCCACATATGGACAAATACGAACAGCACATAAACCACCACATCCTACATTGTTTGTTACTGTGTAATAATAATAATAATAATAATAATAATAATAATAATATAAAAAAAAAATTATGATTAACCATGAAATTGCTCTACCAGCTGGACACATCACTGTGAGAATAAGTACAATAGGACACCCATATTGTTTAGGGCCCAGTCGTCTAAGTCGTCAAAAATCACTGTACAGAGTTGCCTCCCTTGGGTAGGCCAGAAAGCCTTGATCGTGGGTTCGAATCCCGATTCGTAATGTGTCTAGGTTTATCAGCACCGCAACCGTGTTCGTGGGCTTCACCAAAGGTAAACGTCTGAGATCTGCTTCACTTCGGGCTTTCCTCCACCATTAAGCTGGCACGCCGTGATATAACTGGAATATTGTGTGGCTATGAACATCCACTTGTCTTTGAAACATCGGTACCAGTGGACAAGGTGAGGTAAACGATACACCCTTTAGGATTAAAGAATTGTGATGTAACGACAATATAAAGAAGAACGTGTAATGCCTCTGGTACTTTACCTCTACTCGAGCTCAGTAAACCGTCATTGATGATCATCCGTGGTGGCGGCGACGATGACGTCTGTGGCGATGACGACGACATCTCCGGTGACGATGTGCCCCAGTCAAGTCAAATGCTAAGAGGGAACCTTAAAGATCAAGAACACAAAGTCACGATTTCTTAAGTTCACAGTTCATGGCTGCATTGTTTGATGTTGATAAGACTTGCATCGTTTGACTTAAGTTGATTACAGTCTTTTCAGTTATACAGATATAACTACAGTTAATCTCACCCAGCAGTAGAAGTACCATCAGGAAAGATGTCTTCATCCTGTACTTGTGAAACTATCCTGTGCCTGAACGTTAATAGATCAAGATGACGAGGTTGTGAAGGTATACTATGTCCTCACAAACACTTTATATATATACAAAACTGCCTGGAAGTAAACGTGTGTATACCTTTCATAACGCCTGCCGACTGTTGATGTTGACAGCCACGTTTATTGACCAGGTACTCTCCATGTAACCACCACCACGCTGTGCATCAGTGCCCCCGACGGCGTCCCGTGACCTCTCTACATCATCACACCGACACCGACAACGACACCGGCAACAGCCGCCTTTAGCCTGCTGGTAGAAGGGTGACACGTCTGTGAACATTGACGTGGTTGCTAGTGTCAACAAACAGCAAGTAGTCCATCAATAGCAAAACCAAAATGGAATCAATTCAAGTTTTTTCCTGATGAACTTCCGAGTTCACTTGTATATAATGCATCGTTCTAGCCAAAAGAACAGAACCTCATCATTCAGTCAAACAAACTCGGGTTCCTCTTTCCACCATGAAGATCTCTTATCTGCTAGTTGTGCTTTTGTTGGGTGAGTAAGGTTTCAAGGTAGATTAAAGGTAGTAGTTTTTGTTTCTCTGGGTTCATACATCTTGATCTCTCATCTGCTTCTTTTATCGCATCGATTCCTGACATGGGTACAATGTGTGAAGCCCATTTCTGGTATCCCTCGCTGTGATATTGCTGGAATATTGCTAAAAGCGGCTTAAACCCTGCTCAATCACTAACTTTTATTGCAAATAATTAATTTACGAAATAGTTTTACTCACGGAGATATTTTTTTCATTTTTGGCTTCGTTTTCTTCCAGGGTCTTTGCTAGCATTTGACATGACGGGCGCTCATCGTCATCGCCGATGTCGTCGCCATCGCCATAGACGTCACCGTCGTCATCGACACCATGGTTGACCTATAGGTGCATACTCTATCTGTAACAGGCCAAGGTCAGTTTGAATCCCTCACTTGTAATAATTCCTGAAGGCTTTCAATGATAACATTTTCATTTTTATTTTCCCCAGTCTTCTAAGGTGCCGCGATTTGCTTTGCAGAGTCGCCTCCCTTGTACACACAGGAAACCTATGATTGTGGGTTCGAATCCCGGTTCGCCCCGATTATGTTTCTAGGTTTGTCAGCACCATACACGTGCTCGTGGGTTTCACCAAAGTGGTAAACGTCTAAGACCTGCATCACTTCGGGCTTTCGACCCGTGAAGATTCCGGGGTAGAATTGATCTTCAGCAACCCATATTGCCGTAAAAGGTGACTATGCTTGTCGTAAAAGGCGACTAACGGGATCGGGTGGTCAGGCTCGCAGACTTGGTTGATAAATGTCATCGATCTCAATTGCGCGGATCGATGCTCATGATGTCGATTGTCTGGTCCAGACTGGATTATTTTACAGACCGCCGTCATATAGCTCGAATATTGCTGAGTGCGGCGTTATACAACAAACAAACAAACAAAACAAAAATTCGAGCTTTCCTCCCACACGAAGCTGACACGTCGTGATATAACTGGAATACAGTTAAAAGCGGCGTTAATCCCAACTCACACACTCACTTATTTTCCTCCTTCGATGCGTTTAATGATGAAGAGGATTTTAGTTTCCTTTCTTTATACAAAATACCTACTAGGGGCTAACAATAACTGAAATGTGTTTAATAGAAAGATAATTATGACAATTGATATCAAGCGCCCAATGGAACATCTCTATATACTGGAAATCTATTGATCATATAATGATCAATACTTAATATATTTTGTTATTGTTTTGTTTCAGATCCTCGTAAAATGACAACACTCCATATACTTCGGATGAATGTACACGTACACATTAATAAACAGAGTGAACTATCTTAGTGGCTCATGTTTTGTCGTTAAAAAGTAACCAAGGCACTATCACACTTTCAGTTCATCGGTTATATTATTTCAATCTTAATTTACATAATAGCTTCATATAGTTTGAGCTTAATGGTAGAGAAGTGACGCAAGTAGGCTTTTACCTCTGTGGTGAAATCCATTAGCACAGGCATTGGAGCTGACAAACCCAAGACATAACAAGGTCGAACCGAGATTATAACTCACGTACATAGATATACAGTAAACTACGGTTATAACGAACTCATAGGGGATACTAATTTTAGTTCGTTATAAACGTAGTTCGTTATAAGCATATATACAGCATAACTACAGCAAATAGTCGGGACTAAAAAGTAAGTTCGTTATATCTGTCAGTTCGTTATAAGCGTGTTCGTTATAACCGTAGTTTACTGTAAATAGTGAATTACGGCGACATATGTTACTGGACCATCTGCACCCCCCACCATTTATGTGAAAGTGAAAAGGATAAAAAAAACCTGATCAATACACTACTTTTATTAATTTGGATCCCGATGCAATATCGCACACAAAATGTCACACCGATGGTGCTATTTGTATACTCATAAATTAAAGAAGGGGATCAGGATTATGAACACCTACAATACATTTACATCCCTTACAATACACAGAGAACATGTTCTGTTGATTGTCAGGATACCCCTTTTTCTTGTTCGGGAGGTTAGAGGTTTAGTTGATTATATTCAACTCTGAGGGCGCACCAGAGGACTCAGTATTTGGGAGAAACAAGCTGATGTATTTACTGAACAAGTTGTGCAGTTATGCTGTATTCACATCAGTTAGAATACCTTAGAAATATTTTTAGGACGTTGCCTTGATAACCACCTCCGCCGCCTCCTCCTCCGAAGTTGTTACCATTGCTTCCGTATTTACCACCATCCGCACCATAACCTCCGGAGTTGCCAAAGCCACTGCTAGAATACCTATAGGTCCACTCCTTGAGACGAGCTACGAGGACCTTAGGTTACTGTGTTTGACCTGGCTGATGCCATCATGACCAGTCGGGTGGATCGCTGCAATGTACCGTAACATTAAATTATTTTATCATTCCGTGTACTTAATTCATGAGCTTCTTTAAAGATCAAGGCTAGTAATAGTGAGTGAGTGAGTTGGGTTTAACGCCGCTTTTAACAGTATTCCAGTTATATCGCGGCGTGTCAGCTTAATGTGGGAGGAAAGCCCCAAGTGATGCAGGGTTCAGCCGTTTACCACTTCGGTGAAACCCACGAGCACGGGTATGGTGCTGACAAACCTAGAAACATTCGGGGCGAACTGGCATTGGAACCCACAATCATAGGTTTCTGGCGTGGCCAAGGGACGCAATTCTGCACAGCGAATCGCTGCGCCTTAGACGACTGGGCCACCCGTGCCCCCCAAGGCTAGGAATAGTGAGGGTTTATAACTACAAAACCACGAGGGACATCATGGAATCCTAGAACGGGCATTGTTGCGTCTTCACCAAACAAAAAGTGGCGACATTGTTACATTTCGACCAATTCTTCAGCAATGAGAGACAATGTTACATTTTCCAAAGTCAAACTATACTACGTTACAACATTGTCGAGCTGGTGTAAACGTTTCCTGGATATGCGTACAGATCAATAACTGGACTAATACATGTTGAGTTTATGTACATTCATGTATAATTACACAGGATAGTATACTACTCACAGTTTACTAATGTTACGTGTCGATTCCTAAATTGAAACCATATGTTAACCCAGAAAACTGTACGTTAACAAACTTAGTGTGAAACCAACAAACTACCAACAAGTGGTTAACAATCAACAAATGTATTACAAAGTTAACTAGGTTTACAAATCAACACAAATTACTGCACAGCAATTACAATGACAGTACACAATAGAGTGGTAGTACAATTTTCAATGACAGTATGATAATATGATGCCAGTGGTCAGTGGTCAGTAGCAAATACCGTGGTGTTAGCAAAAGTCAGTGATAATAATATATATTCACCCAGCGGCGACAGTGGTCAAGCTTCCGTGATGGGCGAGACAGGGAATCGGGGATCATGAGCGATCCTGACATAAAAGCTGGTCTTGCGTGATGAAAATGCGTGAGAGATATTTAAACACGCTATTGTCCCTTAAAATACAACCTACACAGCAACTGGAAAGTTCCAGACAGTTCCCTCACCAGTCCATCGGCACTAGAACATTAAAAAAGTATCAATAACATACTATCACCTTCCGCGGTATACCGAACCGGAAGTTTACACCCCACACTAGCATCTTAAAATAGTAACTTCCTGACGACTGATCAATTTACAAACAGAATGCAATGAGCGTCTATCGAATCTCAACGGAAACAATGCACAACGTCTAACGTCTTTGGTTTCAGCCAAAGTGTGATCAGCAGGGCATGGAATCGATGCTTGGCGTTTGGATCAGCAACGCAGAGATCCTGTGGTCGGCAGCGTTACAACACACAGTGGTAAGACAGGTTTCTCATAAATGCAGCAAGAAGTATTATTACTTCGTGACTGCCACCACACACAGAAATGACCTTCGGAACGATAGTGGCGTTAAGGCTTCTACACAGGTAATCGTCTCCGTAAGGATGGTCCATGGTCACGCAGGGCATACATTCACATCCTACAGACCTGGCATTACAGACAGGGGATTTTGGACTGGGCTGAAGATCACATCAATTGGACAGACCAGGAATGGGCCCCAGTACTCTTCACTGATGAAGAATGTGGCGTAGACAAGGAGAAATATTTCAGGATTCCAACGTAGCCGAAAATGACCTCTAAGGAGGGGGCTCAATCATGACAGGGATGATATTCTGGTTATGTACGTGAGACCGTATGCTCGTACAATCGGACTTCATCCTCATAAACGATAACCACGAACCCTTCGTGCCAGGGTCGTTGCTGCCTACTTTATAGAGCAGGAGACCATTATCGACATGAATTGGGCAGCACGGTCACCAGAACCACAACATTATCGAACACGTGTGGAACGAGCTGCAGATCGCCCTCTTACGACATCCCGTCCATCCGGCAACGGCAACCATCCACTCACTTCGAGCATGAGACAACGGTACCAGGCTGTAATCGCATCACGTGGATCACACACGCGCTAATGATGGTGTGATCATGATGTATTCTATGACAATGAATTTCTTTTCGTGATTTTTTTTTTACTGTCGAGTTTTGGTCAGATACTATGATCACATGTTGTTTGGTGGCATTGTGCGGCATATGCCAACGGACATTTGTGCATTAAACATGTCTTCAGGAAATATTGACTTTGTCTTGTTTAACAGATACATACAATTTGACGTATTACCGTTTGAAGTGGTGATCTTCAGCAAACTTTCACAGTTTATAAAGAAGATGGGTAGGGTTTGGGCTACGGTATATTTTAAGAAATGAGGAAAATCTCTGCAATCTGTTATGCCAGCTTTCAGACGTGTTCATATGAATGAACGATTTTATACCAACATTGACTGTTTTTGTCAAATAAAGGTCGCTCATGATCAAAACCACTGGTTGTTTTTAGGCGTATTGTTTGAGTAGCTTTTCAGATCACTTTCATTTTCCATTGTTTTTAATAGTCGTCAATGATAATTAGTTTAATAAAAACATCCATCATGTTCTTTAACAGACCCTTGTTGGCATACTTTGTTGGCATTTGACACCCAACACACCAAGTTGGCCCTTTCTGAGTATATGAGATGTCATATCCCAAGTGTGACGAAGGTTCGTGGGTTGCTGATGATCAATTCTAACCAGGATCTCCAAGGGTGACAATGGCACAGTTTCATCTTCATCGGACATTTATAGCTTCTACGCCATGTATCATGGCACACGTGACATACTTCTACACTATATATCATGGCACACGTGACATACTTCTCACACTATATCACACTGAAATACATTGTATTGTCTCACATTACCTGATTTATGTGGGAGTGCATCGTGAGATAAGAGTTCAGATAACACTCACACAAGCATGGCGTTTTCAAGCACACATGGAGCTGTTCTTGTGTATATGTGTATGACACTGTATTTTTGCCTGGTTGCAACTTCCACCCTATGTAAGTAATTTGATATTCGCTGTCATGCATGGAAAACTATAATTAACAATTTATCCCATAAAATCGGGTTCACAAGGACGCCATTCCTGTAAGAAGACCAGAAATTAAACATCCAGGTTGGCGATTTGGCATTTGAGTATAGTTCTAAAAAGGTCAAATATAAAATTGCAGAGCAATATTTTACTTGAACTTTTGGCAGTGTTTTCAAATACTATTTCATTATATTTATTTGTACTATTAAAGCATATCACATTATTAAGAATCTACAAGTACTGACACATTCAGTAATATTACCAAAGAGAAACTGAAGTTTATGTTCACATCCCATGATGTTTCAGACGTGATGCACTCTGTAAGGCACTCAATGGGAACTGTGTAGACAGTCGACTGGTCAGATGTGCCGATCTGGACTTCAAGATATGTGGGTCTGAACCGTTTGCTGCTTGCTGCCCTGGAATAATGATTGGCTAGCCGGTTATCTCAGAAGCATCATCCGGATCATCCGCCTAGTTATCATCAGCCTGAAGGCCATGTTTATAATGATGATAATGCCTGTACTTATAAATAAAATATACACTCTTCCGTCATGTTCTCCATTCATCAACACTGAATAATAAAAAAGATGTTAATCGGCATCAGACCAATGAGTAATTTTGGTTCTGTCCTCAACGACATAGAACTTAAGCTGAATCTCACCTCGTAGGTTCTGCTCCACAAAGCGATCTTAGCTCTATACTAGGACGTTCGTGACTCAAGGGGGCGGTCGGATAGTCTAGTGGTTAAAGCGTTCGCTCGTCACGCCGAAGACCCGGGTTCGATTCCCGACATGGGTACAATGTGTGAAGCCCATTTCTGGTGTCCCCCGCCGTGATATTGCTGGAATATTGCTAAAAGCGGCGTGAAACCATACTCACTCACTCGTGACTCAATAGATTTACTGCAGTCTTGGCGCAAGGATCACTTTGTTGGTCCCCGGAGCTGACATACATGCACAGGGTTAAAAAGCAACTTAACATAACTTTTTGGTGATGTCTCACTTCTGACTCCATTGGCCTTTAACGGGTTGGCGGTGGCGACGTGATTTTGAGGACGGTGTCCCATCCAACCCGACAGTTTTGAAAAGATAATGTTCAAAACGGCATAAATATACTACATGTACGTACAGAAATCTTTACTGGTTTGATATTATTTATGTAATATTATTACAGTTGCAAATGATGCAGTGAGCTAACTGCCAGATTTTGGTTAATGCGGATATATGATGATAGATAGATATAAAATTTTACAAATTCTCGTTTTTATATAATTACTCTGTTTAAAAATACGTATAAGGTAGATCGATTATTAATGCAACGCAATTATTAAAAAATACTGTGGTATACTTGTATTGAATGTTTACAATTATTCGATACACTTACTTTGCCAAAAGGACTGAGTTATTTCTGCAACTGATTTGGAACGAACCTTTAGCAAGGTATATACAGTAAACTACGGTTATAACGAACACGCTTATAACGAACTGACGGATATAACGAACTTACTTTTTGGTCCCGACTACTTGCTGTAGTCATACTGTATATGTACTTATATCGAACTACTGTTATAACGAACTAAAATTAGTAGTCCCTTTGAGTTCGTTATAACCGTAGTTTACTGTAATGTTAAATATCAGACAAAAAGTGAATTAATTCCCTCTTACTATATCCTTTGAAGCAGTGACCCTCCGTGAGCATTTCAGGTTAGACATCGTCTCCCAGCAACCTATGCAGATCGCAGAGGGAACATATTGGGTCAGGGGGTCAGACTCAGTGACCTGGTTGAACGGGTCATCATAACCCGGTGGCGTGGATCGATGCTCATAATATCAGTCACTGGTTTGTCTTGTCTAGGCTCGATTATTAACAGACCGCAGTCACAGAACTGAAATAGTGCTGTGTGCTGGGTTAAACAACAAACAAGCACAGCTAAAAATGGGCAGTGGGTTCGATCCTCCACCTGAGTACCTTGTGTGAAGACCATTTTTCGTGTCCGCCGCCGCGACAACTTGGACTATTGCTAACTGCATTAAACCACACACAATTATCTGAAATAACATGCATGTTCTGTCCTAGCTGACCTCTCTGTTTAACATATTGTGTGGACGAAGTTACATTCCAGCTTACTGCTCCAGATTAAAATGTCCATATATGGACCACAAACACACTTTCAAAGTACAGGGCTTCTTATCCGGCATATCAGGGACACTCCTTTACACTTCATAAATACTTACCTATTTCCTTGACGTAATGAGAAATTCAATATTTATTATCATATTTTCGGTCATAGAAAATGGGAAATGAGAGTGGAGAGTAAACCATATTTTTGAGTTTGGCCTATTTAGCAAATACTTATATACACATTCATGAACAGTTTATGATGTGCAAATGTGTGATTTTATTGCAGCTACCATCCTTGACACGAGCCCTGGACGGACTGAGACAATCTGAGGTGAGGTGAGGTGAGGTGAAATGGAGTTTAACGTCGCGTCAAAGATTATTGCACTTATATAGCGACGTGCATGCACGTGTATGTGTGGCTGCTTGTACTAGTCCGGACTGATGTCGATTTATAGTGCTAGCACACTGAGATACCATGCCGCAGTTTAACATGAATACCCCACTCCGACACAGTATACTGACTCCGAGCCGACCAGTCCTTGTTTAAGCCCCGTAGTGTCGAGCGCCAGATAGGGTAACAACAAGTACCATCTTTTCACGTCTGTCTGTATGACGCGGCCGGGGATCGAACCCCGGACCTTCCGCTCTCCGGGCGGACGCTCTACCACTAGACCACGGAGGCGGTCTTATTAAAAGTAACATACGTAAACAATATTGACGAATTTAGCCTTCATTATATATAGACTTACTTTGTCTCTATCTTTGAAGTGGATATTAACAGGATTCTCTGTCATTGCCAAACGGTGTAGGATCCTCAACGATGGTTGCTTAAAATAAGGGAGGGGAAGGCGGGGAAGGGGCGGGGCGAAGGGGGGAGGGGTTATATTTCAAAGATTGTTACGTGTTACTGATAACTCATTGAACTAATTTTTAATGATGTTTTTATTGCTTGTTGTTTAACGCCGAACTCAAAACTCAGCAATGTGCCCTTGGCCTGTATGCAAAACAGACAAACTGTCTAAGACAGACAAACCAGTCATTGATAGTGTAAGCAACCATTCACGCAGTCTGGGCTCGCTGACACGATATCACTCAAGACGCGGAGCCTGGCCACCCGATCCACGGAGACAAGCATGTGTTGCTGGGGACCAACTCTAAACCGGAATCCCAGCGGGGCTACACTAATCATGTAATCGAGCCCCGTTGAGAAACTGGGTTGGTCTTGGTCGTAAGATGCTTGCCAGAGCCTATAGCTGTGGGTTCGAATCTCAGTTGTTTCCTACTCAGGCTTCTAGGTTTGTCAACACCGTGTGTTCACCGAAGTCTAAGATCTGCATCACTTCAGACCTTGCATCACTTCAAGCTGACACGACGTCATATAATTGAAATACTGTTTAAAAACGGCGTCACATGTCAACCAAGCCACCAGTCAATCACCATGTTGAACTTGTGTCTCATTCACAGTGATCCGTGAGACTACCTGCAGCGGGTTTGGCGGCTTCGTTGGGCCCCCAGGGATCCTGCGAGGGGGATCTGATGGTCTGCTGCCTGGGCCACCCAATTGACGTGGTCGGGCCCCTAGGAAAGTGAACATAAACACAGTAACGGCTGAGTTTGTGTCAAACCGTGTATTTACAACGTTGTTTTCTCAAATGTTTTAATTAAGTATAACAGCTATTAAAATATGTCTGTTTACAAAACTTCAGTCTATACTGTGCATTGAGTGTTTATCAAAATTAATCTCGATAATTTGTAATATTTTGTTTTTCACGTGCAATAATGAAGTAGTTTCAAATCGAACTCCTTCAATGGTAAACTCGTCATCGTCTATTGGTAGCACACATGTATCGAACAACCGATACCTCGATGCATTTTCAATGATATGAGAACTTCAACTTAACAAAGTCTCCATGTATAAGGTAATAAACACACGTATGGTTTTAAATGTGTGACTCACACAATAATAGGCTTCTCTGTCAGTCGAGAGAACCGTCACATGACCGCAAAACAGACGTTTATACGTTTAGAGATGGCTAGAAATGGCGTAACAGCTGTCTCTGCAGCAGCTTCGTCGGGCAAACACACCATGGGTCCGACTGCCTCCGTGGTCTAGTGGTAGACAGCCGGCTTCTCTCTCAGTCGAGAGAACCACGACTGACGTTCTAACATTTTTGCGTTTACACATCTTTCGCGAGAGAGTGATAGAAATGACGTAAAAGATGTCTGTAGAGCGACCTAGTCGGGCAAATCCTGGCGTATAACGTACGATGGGTCCAGGGCCTTTACCACAATAGAATGACGACAATACCCTGGTTAATCGAGGATTCTGAGTGTGTGGTGTTCACGATCAGTTTAGATATCATTTGAACCAAGAAGATGAAAGGTACATCAACTTGAATACAGTGTACCTTTAACTCCAATTCAAATTACATGTGAAATGTGTTCAGTGGAATGTGTATTTGAGGTTTTAGAAAGTGCATTGTACACCCAGTGTAATCCACGAATAATGGAAGGAAGTATCGTTGCGGTTGTATTGATTTCCGATAGCATTCTCGGGGACTACATATGCCTCCCAGAAACCTTTGATTGTCGATTCGCATCGCAGATTCGCCTTTATAAACCTTTGATGACGTCACTCCATTGTTCAGACAGTCTCTTCTTTGCGGAGGTAAACTCTGCTATCGTTCCCACAAGTCTTACCGGCAGAATGCCTTGGTCTTACCAGCAGAATGCCCTTAAACATTTCAAGGAAAACTTTAGGACGATTTTAGTACCCATACTCAAACTATTGGAGTGTCAGCAAAATGATTGCATCCACCCAACTGTCATTGAAGTTCACGTAACTTTGTTTTAAATAATAATATTGTAATATTAGCTGTATCGGTACTTCACAATCTTCTATTGACACACCAGACTTGGATTCCAAATAGTTTCCCCCGATTGCTTTGTGTCGCACTACTGATATGGCTGCCTTAGCGCGACAAATGTATCTCACATTGAATGTACTGTGAACCAGGCTCAGTACACACGCCTTGCGTTGAGAGAAAGGCCTCGAGTTTTGTCTAATTTCGGAGTCTAACACTGGTCGCGGTGAAATCTACGCTTTCTTAACCATAGACTACATTTCTCGGATTTCACCTCCACGTTAGAGATTTCGACAGAAGTTGATGGCAAGTGACTGTTACGTATCCGTAATTTACATTGGATCCGAAAGTAAACTCTGGTCTGGTCCGAAACTCGGTGGATCCGAAATTTACCTGGATTTCAAGCCATTGTCAACAATGCTTCTTTCATGTTTGTTGTTGAGTACACAAACATGACTGGCAATGAAAATTAATCGACATTCTCGTTTAAACAGCCACATAGCGTATGTACTTTATAACATATGATACGTTAGTTAATGTATGTACACTAATATATGCATTCCTATGTACGATGGCATACACATAATACATATTGTATAAACGTTTAGCCACATGACACTGTACTCATGAGTCGTTGTATTATATTAATCTATAGAGAGAGCGGGGTAGTAATGGTGGATGTGCGAGTGTGTGTGCGCGCGTGAGTGTGTGCATTGGGGTAATATCAGATTCTGCATGTTTTCAATCCGATAAAATATACTTACAGATTTACAAACTGAGTTCAGTTAGACCTGTCGCCCGATCAGCTTAATTGAGACGCACATTTAAAGAGCGTCATGGTTAAATCATCCGTTCTTGTGACCTGTTTGTTTGTTGTCTAACACCGCAATAGTCCAGTTATATGACGGCAGTTCGAGTCTTGACCAGACAATTTAGTAATTGACATCACCAGCATCGATCCACGCAATTGGGATACGATGACATGCATCAACAAAGTCAGCGAGCCTGATCACCAGATCCCGTTAGTCTAACGACAAGCATAGTCGCCTTTTACGGCAAGCATGGACTGTTTAAGACACATTCTAACCCTGATCTTCACGGGTGCCTATTGACCTGTCCCCCCTTGGGATTATAATTTGTTGTTTTTGACTTTATAAGTATTGATAACATAGATGGCTGTTCCGTGAAAAAAAATAATATTTTTGAGTGTGCTGCGGATCCAGAAGTATTTACGCTGTTTGATTGAGATAAATGCCTTAAAGATATGGCAGAACAATATTAGGACCCTGTAACAAACACAACACCCCATCCCGAAATGATTATAAAATTGCTCCCTCGGTACTTGTCCTATTACCCCTCAAAGTCAACTTTATCTGCAAGATGGTGACGATGAGTGAAATGCTGACGATTTGTCAGATAACAAGGAACATTACACATAGGGGCATGGGTATCACTGAAGTTATTTTCACCGCACACACACACGCACACATTATAAATACACAAACACGCAACGTGCACACACACACACACATACACAGATACAAACACACACATACATACACACACATGCACACATACATACACACAAAGACACACACATACATATATACATACACACACGTGCATACACACATACATACACACATACAAACACACACATACATACACACACACATACCTACCTACCTACCTACCTACCTACCTACCTACCTACATACATACATACATACATACATACATAGCAATAGAGTAAGAACAATTCCCCATGTTAGAAGACTGTGTTGCATGATTTGTGTTACAGTGCCTGCTAGTCATGGCTGTAATACAGCAGCATTTTTTAGCAATTCTACAAGCGTCTGTCGGCTAGATAAATGATAGATGATGTCCTTCAAAACATTGAATAAAGGTGCTCGAAGATCGGAGTAATGATAACAGTCAATCAGAAAGTGAGTTATAGTGAGTTAAAAGTTTATCAGTTCGAGTGTCCAGGGATTTAGCATATTCTAAAGCCCATCTGTCAATTATGTACGAGAATCTTTCTCCAGTCACCGCTGACTTTGGTTGGTGCCGATTAGGTTCCTCACTCTGGCAGTGTGGGTTCGAATCTGGTAGTGTGGGTTCGACGGGTCCCAACCGTTAAAGTACGAGAATCGGTACTTTATCACACATATATCATGTTTTACATAGCAAAAGCTGCAACAAAATTAACACGATATTAGAATATATTATTCCAGTTTTATATTCTATTTCGTCCTTTCATTGCATCAGAATTTGTATAACTTATATCATTGGGTAACATGTCACTGAAACAGCGGTAGAACGACTTTCGTCTTAGTTTTATTCCACGACAAAAACACCCGGTAATCTAAATCTCTTCAAACAAAAGTCAACGCCTAGCATAACAAGACATAACTGCAATCATAAATCATCATGTCTAGTAATGTTTTAAGGTAAATTTCACAATTTTATTGACCAAGTTTGTTATCCCTTGTTCGTTCACCTAAAGCGATAGATGTAATTTTTGACTGCGCACAACACACGAAATGACAATTATACTCACACACAGGGAAATACGGTATCTTCCGACCTACATTCCATCGTTTGAATAGCGCTGGGCAAATGTATGACGTAACCAGTAGAAATCAAACATAATCGGAACGTTTCGGGAGATAAAAAAACGAACGATTTTGTATGAATGAGTAGGCCTTCTGTTGTGTAAACAAATATGGCGGCAAAGCGGCGCTTCATTGTGATTTGTCAGTCAGCGGAAACTTGGTGGCGAAGGTAAGAAAACAAGACCGCATGAAGGTCACTTACAGAATTGTTTATATTCATACATTAGGCGTGAATTGCACATGGCTTTCCCAATCACTAATTGTTGCACTGTGTAATGTGGCTCTTGTACGTACTATTCCGGATTAATGCCGATTTTATATTGCCAGACCACCGAGAAAGCACGCTTCAGTTTATGGAATACCCCACTTAAACACAGTATACTGACTCCAAGCCGACCATTCTTTGTTTTATCCATTAGTGAGTGAGTTGGATTAACGCCGCTCTAAACAGTATTCCAGTTATATGACGGCGTGTAAGCTTATTGTGGGAGGAAAGTCCGATGTGATGCAGATCTTAGACGTCTACCACTTTGGTGAAAACCATGAAAAGGGGTATGGTGCTGACATACCAAGAAACATAATCGGGTCGAACCGGGATTCGATTCCACATTCAAAGGTTTCTGGCGTGCCCAAGGGACGCAACTCTGTACGGCGAAATGTGGCGCCTACGACGAATGGGCCACCCCTGTCCCTTTTCACCAGCCAGGCAGGTTCATGGGTAACATGTATGTCAATATTTGCATTGTAAAGCTATTTCTGTGACGATATTGCGTAAATGATATCGTTACTTGTTAAGGTATGCGGCGCACCTACATTGACGCCATGGCTTACATAGATAGCGAGAAAAGTCACGTGACTTTCACGTTTGTGAATAGCTCTTAACTGCGCAGTCATTCGAGCGACGTACCTGCCGATAAAAGTCTACTCCCTCAACATTGCTTACACTCTAAAGTATTGAGACGTTGGTAGTAACTGTACAAGCACATGGTTCGTGCAGGTTAACTGTGACACGTCATCGCTAGAGAATAATCAGACTGGATTAACAGCCTAAACAGATTCCACATGGCGGGAAAAGGCAAATTGATGGTGAAAGTTACATGTGTGAGTGAGTGAGTATGGTTTAACGCCGCTTTTAGCAATGTTCCAGCAATATCACGGCGGGGATACCAGATAGGAAAGTTACATGAACGGATCACTGGAGAGATACGAAAATAGAGTATGATTCATGTTGTGACCTTCACCTGACGTGGACGTGGTCGACCTTGTGTATGTGTCTCTGGGAATGACTGTTAATATAGGTTGTGTTTCTGTGATCGATTGATCACACACATGATGTTTCTGTGATTACAACTTCTGTGATTACAACTTCTGTTGTAACTTGGGATTCTGTGATTCTGTTGTAACTTGGGATTCTGTACGGAGAATACGTATACACAGACCTATTTCATTTTCCTTCCGGATACAGCAGGGACAATGACGTTGACATATTTTTACCTTGAAATGAGATTACTAACGGCCCTCTGTTTGATGACGGTTTTGCCAACAACATCTTTCTCCGCGGTAAGTATGTTAAATATATAATAAAATCATTTAATCAACTATTTGTAATATTATTTGTAATTCTGACTTCCTGATAGTGTAGGGTAATATCAGACAACTTTGTACAAGAATCAGAAACAGTGTTCCTAATTATTTAAGGTTTTTTAATCATCTTCCCGTGGTAAAAGTGTCCACTAGCCTTTTTATCAAAATGTAGTTTCCACTGAGAAAACTTTATATAGGCCAGTGGACACGGTTAACTCGTGTAGATGGATAAGTAATGAAAACACAACAGTTAAAAGTGACGTCGAATATACTCACGGTCTTCTATCATACAAAACTAGAGGGGGCATGGGTGGCCCAGTCGTCTAAGGCGCAGCGATTTGCTGTGCAGATCTAGAGTTGCGTCCCTTGTACACGCCAGAAACCTATGATTGTGGGTTCGAATCCCGGTTCGCCCCGATTGTGTTTCTAGGTTTGTCAGCACCACACCCGTGCTTGTGGGTTTCACCGAAGTGGTAAACGTCTGAGACCTGCATCACTTCGGGCTTTCCTCCCCATTAAGCTGACGCCCATTAAGCTGACACTGGAATATCGTTAAAAGTGGCGTTAAACCTAACTCACTCACAAAACTATAATTTTCGAAATGCCGACCATTTGATATGTCTGAACTAAGTATACGCAAAATAGCAATTGTTTCCTTATTTACGGTGTCCTGAAATATATGTTGTGCAAAAACAGAGAACTACCATAGGATCATGTTTCTGATTACAGATTATAAGAGACACCCCTCACCTGGGAACCTACCCCCATGATGGAGTCACCTGTTTCAAGTGTCCACCAGGAACATACGTGGACAAGCACTGTACTGGGGACTTCACATATTCTGTGTGTAATGACTGCCCTGTTGGCACCTTCCAGACTCACTACAGCCAGGCAACAAATTGCTCTCCTTGCCAGACATTCTGTCTCCATGACGACAACATGGAGGTGGTTGAGAGTTGTACATCCACCCATGATGTGAAGTGTCAGTGTAAACAAGGGTATTATTTACAGGTGAAAGACGTGTTCTCCGATATAAAAATATGTAAAATATACAGTTCCTGCCCCGAGGGACAAGTTATCATAAGAAACGGTAAGAATTTTTATCTTGAATGTTTACAATCAATGACAGCCATTATGAGATGATGGAGATTTATAAGTAACAATATATTTATTAATTATAGAGTAACAGTTAAAGTATTATTTTCTGTTTCACAGGACAATAAGAAAAAAATAGGAGAAAGGAAGTTTGATATTACTACATGAAAAAAGTAACTGTACACATATGTATTATAAGGATAGATACATTTCTTGAACGTTACATTGCGATTTATGAAAGTTGTTTGAGAGACGCAATATTCATTGACAGCAGTAATAACCCTCTCTCTCATGTTCTACTGTTCCAGGGACATCAACATCAGATACCGAATGTGGTTATTGTCCAGAGGGTCAGTTCTCCAGGGATGGACAGTGTCGGACATGCAGCCCCTGTAGTGGGGAGAACAACACGCAGCTCACACCCTGTAATGACACTTCTGATGCCCAGTGTCTTCATCATCACACAAATGGTAGGAGAACTGGTACACACTCTCTTTCTTACACACTGGTACATATGTAATGTAACTTAAGAAAACACACACACACACACACACACACACACACACACACACACAGAGAGAGAGAGAGACACACACACACACACACATACAGACAGACACCCACCCACCCACACACAGACACACACACACACACACACACACCTTCGTATACAGACAGACACACATCCACAGACACACCCAAACAAACAAACAAACAAACAAACAAACAAACAAACAAACAGACACACACACACACACACCACCTCCTATCCCGGGGAATCCGTGGCAGAAATAAGTCGCCGTTCCCATCCATTTCTTAAAAAGGGTATAGATGAGGATGAGGTTATTACAGTGTTTTGCCTGGCTTATCTGTACCCATACCATCAGCCTCTCGTTTTACAGTTACTGTTCACACACAGACACACACGCACACACACACGCACACACACGCGCGCGCGCACACACACACACACACACACACACACACACACTCAGCAATAGCGAGGTGTTTTTCATGACGCTTTTAGTGTCGGTGGACACAAGCGCTTGGCTTCACATACGTTGTATTGCACCCAACGTGAAGATCGAACTACATAAATAATTTGTTCAGGATATAAAATATGAGTATTTTCACTTTGCTTGCAGATACGGCCGAATTAGTTACGGGAATCCCAGAAATAACGACCCACAAGAAGGATGGCAGTATAGGCGTGGTAGTCGTGGTTGTTCCAGTAGTTCTGTTGTCCCTCATTGCTGCGGCAGTACTTCTAGCAGTACGTTACGTCATGGCAAGAAAAGGTCAAAAGGGGATCTACAGCATTGAACTGAATGAAAGAAGGTAATACATCAAATATACTTTCCAGTTAGGACCAACATGTTTAACAGCAGCTTTGATTGTAAAACATTTGTATGTAACTAATAGGCTTACCATTATCGTGATGATGCAACAGTTTTCCATCAATGCATGTGCTCTTGGGTCGTCGCCATAGAACTGTACGGCTTTGGAGCCCTGTATAACAATATTCATTCCTTCACTTTCCATTGACAAACGAACATGTGCCTGATTTGTTTCGATGAGTATGTGTGACTTTCAGTATGACTGGATATATAAGTGTTTTTTATTTGTTTGTTCTTAGAGTCACTGAACCCCTAATTGACAGATCCAACTCCACGTGTTCAACTCAACCACCAAGGAAAAAACAAAGAACATTCAGTGGTAGCAGTGCCGTCAGCGCAAGAACAGTGTCATCATTTCCCGATCTTAGAGGTATTGATAAACCTCGTTCTCTTTTCTTACTGAGAATACATTAGGTATACAAGTAGATGTTTACATGGGCATCAAGTATATGTACATTACTACTCGCAAGTACTAACCCGTAATGTTTTTAGCAATACCACAGCTAAACAATACGTTAATTCCGCTACCGTACCGCGTTGATTCCACAAAGCGTACCCCCCTTATTACAAAAACGTACATCGTAAACTCCGCGGTACAGTTCCGGAACTCCACCACGATCATGAGGGCGGAGGCTGTGAGCTGTAGTGTATATTGTAACTATTCCAAAGAGACTAGTGAATCAAAATGTATTCTGTTTTGTACTCCTGGGAGTATAGTGTGAATAAAACATAAGGTTTTTGTCATATGTATAATTCCAACCTTTTATCAAATGCAGATCCAGACATGTGGAAGCTGAGGGTGTTCGACCTCCTGTGCAGCAGACTCACGAACTGGAAACGATTCATGAGATACCTTCCAGGTAGAGTTACGTTAAACCTGCACTACAAATAGATTTAGGTTTCAAGGTTGATTAACGCCGTGGGCAGCAACATTCCTCCGTGAAGTATACGGTACAATTAAAGGGGCAGTGTATTCCACGGCCAGGAGTCTGTTACCATTTCCGTTTTGCATTAAGGTCATATTGGAAAATAAGACATTTTCCGTGAGTGAGTAGAGCCTTTGTTAGAACTAGACGGCTATTCTGAACAGCACTGGTGACATTTGAAACTGTGACCGCCAATATGCTTCTTTGAGGTTTTCATAAGGTATGTAGTTTAATACCGTGTTATGTTCCCCAATATGTTATTTAACACCTGTCGTGGCAGTTATAAGATATTTTATGTACTTATTTATTACCTTCCAGGGGATGCTGAGTACAGATCGAATGTAACCAGTCGATGTGAGCAGATTCAGTGGGAGGAACAGGGTGATGTAAGAGAACAGATCCACAAGGCTCTGGAAGAATGGTCACGGTGCAATGAAGAAGAATACGTTAAGATTGACAGCATACTTGATACTATAGAACAAGTAACTGAGCATGATGACCAACTCTACAAGGATGTTTGGGACCTGTGTTGTGAACTGGCCAAAGAACAGAAACAGGGAGCTATATCACAAGTCACCGTTTGATGTCCAGGAGAATACTACCAACAGTGAAATATGGCCGTGTATGGAGTACGACTCAAAATTCACTAGTCCGGACTGATGTCGATTTATAGTGCTAGCCCACTGAGATACCATGCCGCAGTTGAACATGAATACCCCACTCAGACACAGTACACTGACTCCGAGCCGACCAGTCCTTGTTTTAGCCCTGTGTTGTGAACTGGCCAAAAAAACAGAAACAGAGAGCTATATCATAAGTCAACGTTTGATGTACTAGAGAATACTTGTTTTAGCCCCTTGATGCTGAGCGCCAGACAGGGTAACAGCAAGTACCATCCTTCAACGTCGTTTGGTATGAAGCGGCCGGGAATCAAACCCCGGACCTTCCGCTCTCCGGGCGGGCGCTCTACCTCTAGACCACGGAGACGGTCCCAAAATTCAGTACTCATTACATGGAGAACATGGTGGTTACGTGCTGGAACGAGTGCTAATGGACAATATTATTGGGTGAGGCGCATCTAATATGTCCAAAATTTCTGTGATCAAAAACAGTGACTCGTGCTCATTATTTGAATAACCATTTCCTGCCTTCATAAATGCTTGGTTGTTTGGTGCCGTGATGGAATATTTGGATGTTTCGATACCAGAATGGCTCCCAGGGACTGAGTGCTCATGGACAATGCTATTTAATGCGATACATCCAATATATCCCAAAGTTCTGTGATCAAAAACTGTGACTCGTGTTCATTATATAGAGAACTGTTTCTTGACTGGTACTACGGTGGAATGTGTAGCTGTCACAATGCCAGAATGGTTATGAGGGTACCAGGTGCCATGGGTAATATTAATGCTATTTCATGTGACATGTCAGCTCTCTTGGGAAAGCCAAAGGACAACCAATAGCTTATTTATATAATTATTGACATGTTTAACATGACTGTTCTTCATAATGTAGTCACAGACACAACAGGAATACATGGATCTCAGCACATTTCAGTGAAAGGAATGGACGATTTATGATTTAGCTTTGTTCTTTGTTTTTAACCAACTGGACATATATAAGAAATAAGAACTCCACCAGTTCCTGAATCTGCGAGTCTGTGTTTATTGCACAGTAACTCACATATATATTTACAAGACATGACCAAAGATATTATTTTAAATATTATTAATATTTGCGGTTCCAGTACGACTTGCGGCATTTTATGTGTATACTGTGATCTTTTGACACAGTTCAAGTCATTATCCATGTACATATGTGTTCGTCTTCCATGTGATTAATCCTGGAAACTTTTACATTTGAAATGGCATTACTTCCCACCAATGATTCGTTTATCCGAACATTGGTTTATTGCACGGGAAGTCAACTGTCCGTATTAACGGGGTCTACTATACTATGTACGTAGTCACTCCATGTCCATGCATATATCATATCATAGGACCTGTTTTGTCAGTTTTACCCTCTGCACAATGTTGTTTTTTAATAAACAATTGAACAGAAATGGTAATGGCTTGACGTTGTTCCATTCATCATCAACACGCATACGCTGTATACCACATATACCTACTTGTGTTAGTGCGTCAAATAGGATAACTATCAATCAGTGGTTTGTCTGGTCCATAGAGTTGAACTATTGCGGTTTTAAACGAAAGTTACAGGACCAAAGGATCTGTAAGAAACCTGAATCGTTAACCACTATTCAGCGGACAATAATAGTGCTGGCAGACCATAGATTGAGGCACACCCAACTATTGAAGACTGCATACTGCTTACTCATAAGTACCCATGAGTAATAATCATTTATAGAAAGTATGTGTCAACAACTTAACAATGACGTCAAGAAGAAAGGCGGTGGGTGTGTGTGAGGGGTGGTGTGTGTGGGGGGTGGGGTGGGGTGGGGATGGGGGTGGGGATGGGGGGTGGCTGAGAGAAGAATCTCACCTATACATGAAACCTGTGAATTGACATTGAAGGAACACACTAACAGTAATGGTGTGAAGATATGACCTTGTGATGTCCCATGTGATCACACTGTGTCGAACATTTCATTGTGGCGATGTGTAGCGTGTAAAGTGCCCCTGACTGAGCCCTGATACAATAGGTGCCTCCTGTATTATGACTTGTCACGTGTTATCGTGAATTGTGGCTAAAATGGATAGAATTACATTAAACCGCCCGCATGTATCAGAAATGAGCGGGCCACTGTAACTGGATAATGCCCTCATATTGCTTGATGACAGGCCATTATCACGCCCGTTGTTAGGTGACGTCATGGGAATAGGGAAAGGTGACGTCACATGACGTCGTTTATTTTTATTTGATAACAAATTATATCCATGTTAGCTATAATAACGGTTACGCTACTTTTCAGGGCATTATGATTTGCAGAAGCCCCTATATTTCCAACTGCCCTCCTTCGTCAGGCAGTTAAATGAAGACGTCGTACTGTGATCAAACAGTATTTTTTTGTGGGGCTGGGTAGGAGGGGGGCGGTCGGGTAGCCTAGTGGTTAAAGCGATCGCTCGTCACGCCGAAGACCCGGGTTCGATTCCCGACATGGGTACAATGTGTGAAGCCCATTTCTGGTGTCCGCCGTGATATTGCTAGAATATTGCTAAAAGCGGCGTAAAACCATTCTTACTCACTCACTCATTGTGGGGATTTTAGCGTATATGTTATTACATGTGAGAGAGTAAGGGCATTAACCCATAGATTGATCAGATTGGATGTTTGTGTTAATTTGATAACATGCTAGTTTTAAAACAACGATATAATGTGCACGTTCAGATTTCACATTGCATCTAGTAATGGCGTCGTTGCAAAACCGCTGAAATATTGGTGCGCGGTTACATTATAACAAAATAATATAAACTAAGATGGAATAGCTGTCGATATATGTATTAATCTTTGGTACAGTGAAACACCGATTGTCCGGAACCGTTTATTCCGGAATCTCAGACTTCTGAACGATAACTACTGGGAATGTCGTTTTTAGTTCTGTTATATTACAGTATAGGAATGATTCGTTAATTTGGTCATTAGCTTATCAGGACGATTTCACCTGTATATCTCATGATCAGCTGAAATACATACAATCGTTTTAACATGGGGTATTTTCAACCACTGACGCATAGGCCAGCTCACAGCTTGTGATAGGTGTAACCTTTATATCTATTACCTATCAAAGTAGGCCATCGTATCACGCGACAATGAGTACAAGTACTACAATATATAGGCGGTTCTTGCTTAAACTTTCACAGGGACATTGGTTCACTTCGAAGGAATCATTCGTATTTTGTTTCTATTTTGTATGCAGCTGTATACAATGAAACCTCGGGAGGTCGGATCCTGGCAAATCCGGAAACGATATCCCAGTCAATCCATACTGGAAAAGCTTACATATATGCAAATAAACGGACATTATTAAATAATGATGATTAATTATTATAAGCTGGAAATATGTTAAGCCGGTCGACTTCTATTGGGAGGCTACCGCCTGATTGACGGTTGGATACTGTCTGTAATTAACCAAGGAGAACTGGCTAAGAAGAGTTCCGTGCCATTCTACTGCTATTGAAATTGGATAAGGAGGGTAGACTCAGTGACTTGGTTTATCGCGCGTCATCATATCCCGACGGATAATGCTCATAGTATCAACCACTGGTTTGTCTGGTCCAGACTCGATTATTTACAGTGAAATACTACCGGCAGTAGCGTAATTAACCAAACTTAAACAACCTTAACAAATGTTATATTTAGGATAACACTGTCTTAGTACAGATTTTAGTTCTTTTCTGGGTTGAGTCGCATCCTGGATTCGAACCCACACTCCCAGAATGAGGCACCTAATCGCCAGCACACAAAGTCAGCGACCTTACCCACTCAGCCACATAGGCTTTAACAAAATGAAAGTCTGACACCTGGTAGACGAGATCACGTACTTTGAGTACCCCTCTGAAAAATGTAAATTGGCACAGTTCCCATGGCCGAAAGCTATGAATACACAATGCCGTTTAGAAAGCGGTCAAATGTAACAAATGTTATATTTGGGAAAACACTTTCTTAGTTATCCAAAATATAATTTTTTTTACATCTGACCGCAGTCTAAATGACATTGTGTATTCATAAACAAACCAACAAAGCACTATAAAAAAATCAGTTGCACAATAATCATGTTTCATATGTGTATTCTCATATTTCATATTTCTTCGTACTCTTGCACAATCGCATCCTCCTTTTAGACATGACATGTTTAAGAATAACGACAACGACGGTGTACGTCAGAATAAACGTCAGCAAACACGGGTAACGATGACTTGGTGATTCTCCACAGCATGGCCAGACTTGATGTTATCTTCATGTACACAGGGTAAGTGACCAGGTGACGAGAAACAGCAACAGTTATTGAAGAAAGAAAGGATACATACATGACATGTTTAACAATAACGACAGCGACGGTAAACGTCGGAATATTCGTCAGCAAACACGGGTCACGATGACCTGGTGACTCACCACTGCATGGCCAGACTTAATGTTATCTTCATGTACACAGGATTAGTGACCAGGTGACAACACTTTTGGAAGAAAGAAAAGACACATACATGACATGCTCCACACCTGTAACATAGTCAATATATTGACGTGTATGTATCTCTGATTTCAGGCCCCGTTGATCTCAATGCGCTCACGCACAAATACAAAAGACGAATGACGAAACCTTTTCAAATATTCATTGAAAGCTTTTTAAAGGCCCTGCTGTGTTGGTTGCGCTGTTTATTGTGTGGGACAATGTTGCCTGTTGTAATGTAAGTATTTGCTAACGCCCACGAGTTATGTACAGGCGACACCGCATTATCAGTGATTCATATCACTGCACAATCCACAGGTGTCTTTCTTCCAAAGGACCCCTGCGTATTTATTTACTTGTTACAGTGACACAAGTTACACAATTGACTCAAGGATGTCCCCAACAAAAGATTTCACTATTATGCGATTTCTCCTATGTGACGCTCAGAACTTACAAATCAACCCTAGTACATGCAGTACATTCTCTACAAGAGCCTGCATTCGTAAACTGTCATTCGGCTTGTCCCGTAATGACACGAGTTGGTCACGAATGCAAGAGCCTTTAGTTTCGAAAGTGGGCCCCTTGCACTTTCGATTATAATTAGGCTAGCAGAGTTAGCTCCCTTCTTGAACACCCCGATAATGCGGTTTCAGAACAAGTGAGTGAGCGAGTGAGTTGGGTTTATCAGCTAATTGGGGGTCGTCATGGTGATAGTTCTGGCAGGGTTGTCTCTTGTATTCTACCTTAAGAGAAGGAAGCACGCCATCATTTTACGGCACAACGCAGAAAGGTGACGACAATTACTAAATCCTTATGACAGATTTAATAATAGTTTACTGTAGAGACCATATTTATTTATTAGGTTACATGTTTGTTATCTGAGGATACCTGTTGGAAATTGAATAGAATGATAATCAGTTTTATTCTTGATGCTTCAGCCCTGACCCTGGCAAGCATGATGCCAAATCTTTCCCGCTTCTTCCTCCTCGACCAGTGTCGTTATCTTCTTCCACGTCAACATGTCATCATGCACAGTTCCCGGAACTTGGAGGTGTGCCTCCCGTCATCATTCGTCATTCTGTACACACTATCTATATACTCTACGGGGACATGGGTGGTCTATCTGCCTGGGGCGCGACAAAGCGTGTGCAGAGTTGCGTCCCTTGGGCATGCCAGAAACCTATGATCGAGCTTTCGAATTCCAGCTTCGTTTATCTGGACACGCGTTAACCCGAACGCTATCAGCATCATACCCGTGCCCGTGGGTTTCGCAAAAGCGGTAAACGTCTAGGTCCTTCGTCACTTCGGGCCTACCTACCTTACTAAGCTGACACTTCGGGTTTTCTCCTCACACTAAGCTGACACGCCATTATTTTGAATGTATTTACGTGTGTGTGTGTGTGTGTGTGTGTGTGTGTGTGTGTGTGTGTGTGTGTGTGTGTGTGTGACTGTTAATGTCTTACAGCCTCATATACTTGTCACAATATGGCTTAAATGCCAATATGTATTCTGATCTTAATTCACTCACTCACCCAAGTGTTCAGATCAGGAGGAACCTTAATTACAATTCTCCGACATGCTGGTACTCGTTACATTGTGATGTTTGGCAACCTCAACATGTTCAAACTAGCACATAACTTGTGAAACATGCGAATATAAATACAAATATCTAAACTGACATCTCACTAAAGTGAAACCTGATCATATGTTCATCATTACCATCTTTTCAGATCCTAACACATGGACAAAAGAAGTATTTCTGATATTGTCCCGAACACTGACACACAACTGGAAAACATTTATGCGGAATTTACCAGGTACATTGAAACTGGGATCTGGGAATTCAGTTAATTACCGGATATGTTTTGGGTCAGTGCTTCAAAATATGTCGTCCGAACATTTAATTTAACAGTAAACCCTGATTCAGAAGTATTTTACCAGCATTTGTGGAACGACAAGACGTGTATTTTGAAAAAGAAACCTTAGACACGTGGGATCCCAAATGCATTACGTTCTGTCTTTTGATCGTTTGTATAATTACCTCTGAAATGGTTTCAGGAGATACTGACTTCAATGCTAGTGTTCACTACAAGTGCGAGCAGGTGGAACTGGATGTCCACGGTGTCCCTGAGCAGGTGTATCAAGTCCTGCAGTGGTGGGCGGAGTCCCAGTATGGACCAGCAGTTTCAGTGGACAGCATCCTCTATACACTTCATTAAATTGGCGACTGTGAGGATATACAGAAGGAAATCAGACATAAATGTTCAAAACTCGCTAGAAGTAAACCCAAGAAGTAATATCGACAATAATGACGTCATGGTAGAAAGTGGGACAATAATGACGTCATAGCAGACAGTGGCTCGACAATAATAACACCATGGCAGAAAAGGGGCAATAATGACGTCATAGCAGAAAATGGGACACTAATGACGTCATAGCAGAGAGTGGGTCGACAATAATGACGCCATAGCAGACAAAGGGGCAATAATGACGTCATAGCAGAAAATGGGACACTAATGACGTCATAGCAGACAGTGGCTCGACAATAATAACACCGTGGCAGAAAAGGGGCAATAATGACGTCATAGCAGAAAATGGGACACTAATGACGACATAACAGAGAGTGGATCGACAATAATAACGTCATTGCAGAACTTTATCCAAAGCAGATCGTTGTTAACAATGCCAACAAACAATAAGACACACATACATGTTTCGGTCTACTGCTAATCATATGGCATGCATTTTCAGAGATACGAAGTTTTTCCGCACATGTTTGTCAATAGTTCTGAAAAAACGGCAGATATTCTGTTAAACAGAAACTGTGTTTACACTTTGACTTGAAGATAAATCGATGGCATAGGGACATGACTTAATCCCATTGTAGCTTTACTATAGTGACAGGCGTGTTTGGTCACCCACAGACAGTGGGAGGTGTCGTTTAGGCGCGAGTGTTTGCACTCATAATATAAGGGTAACGCTATTTTTCAGGGCATTATCATTTGCAGAAGCCCGAGGTCTTCCATTAGTTGAGAAGACCGAGGGCTTCTGCAAATGATAATGCCCTGAAGAATAGCGTTACCGTTATTATAGATAAAATGGATGGAATTTTGTATCAAATAAAAAGAAACAACAATATCGGTTTTGAAACATTTACTGCAATTAACACAAATGTCACTGACCCACTATTACAAATATGGAAACGTCATAGAACAAACCAGATGACGTCACTATTTAACGTGACGTCACCTATGCCTACCGTATGACGTCACCCAACAACGGACGTGATAATGGCCCGTCGTCAAGCCATATGAGGGCATTATCAAGTTACAGTGGCCCGCTGATTCTTGATAACATGCGGGCGGTTTACTGATGATTCTATCCATTTTAGCTATAAAAGAAATTATTTTCCATGTACTTGATGAATATTTGGATTATTAAATGATAAAATAATAAGTCTGATTTTGTTACTGTTCCTGTGTCAAACAGCTGGTGGATCCTCAAGGAGCTGATATTATGGTCATATGAATATTCATATAATGTAGTATGTTATAAGGGCGAAGGGGACACAAAGGAACGGGTTTTTTTATGATTCAAGAATGATTATTTTGGGCTTTTGTTTTATATATTTGGAATACATTTTTTTCCATATCTATTGTGTAACAGTTTTAACACTTATATATATTAAACGGAAAATATAATTATATTCATGGTCATAAAATACTCAATACACATTTTCAGTGTAAATACAAAGCTCTCTGTGTCACCACGTACGTAAAGAAAATATACACGTGTTTTAGAATACTTGACCACATGTCCATGTGAATCGTCATTATAAAACGGATAACATAAGCTCACACGAATACCGAACAGGATATATCATTGAGATTTTTTGTGAGGAAGTATAGAACTTATCGGATAAAATACAACTGATATCTTACTCGGCAGTAATTACACCTAAGGCTGGACAATGCCATGACGTGTTGCTTGCCAGAGTACAATGACGTCGATCAGTGGGAAATACATGTTAAATAACACATTTGTCCTTTCTTGTCAAATAGCATGTTCATCACATCTCCACTCATGAACATATCAAGTTTGTCAGGACAGTGGCTGAAATCAACATGCTATTTGACAGAGAACAACTATCATTGTAAAGTGATACCTCATGCTGCGCCTCTCATGGTTACTTATCCCTTTAGTGTTTTTTGTACGATAAACAATTCCCACTCGCCGTTTATTTCTTAAATATAATCCAAATACCTCATTGCATGTATGCGGGCACAGGTGGCCCAGTCGTATAAGGCGCCGCGATTGGCTGTGTAGAGTTGCGTCCCTTGGGTACGCCAGAAACCTATGATCGTGGGTTCGAATCCCTGTTCGCCCCGATTATGTTTCTTGGTTTGTCAGCACCACACCCGTGCTCGTGGGTTTCACCGAAGTGGTAAACGTCTGAGACCTGCATCACTTCGGGCTTTCCTCCCACATTAAGCTGTCACGCCTTTATATAACTGTAATACTGTTAAAAGCGGCATTAAAACCAACTCACTCACTCACTCATTGTATGTATAAAACAATTATGATTTACTGAATACCTGTCATGTGTCTATATTTAGTACACTGTTTATGTCAAAAGCATTTTATGATACACTTCACGATTTGGACAATTATATATTTATTAAAAAAAGTAGTTTTACCCCGACATTTGTCGACAATATTGCCAAGCTTTATATTCCATTTATCTACGTTATCGTGAATCAGAATTCATGCCACATTCATGTCCGGTATTCAATCATACAATTCCCCAAATCTTTTCTCAAACAAAGTTTTGGATAACTTAGCCTAATTAATGGCTTTATTAGTCCCAGAATATCACTTTAAGATTAATGTTCTACAAATATAAAGCCTAATGTGGTGATAGATAAATTGTTTATTCTCACCGACGTAAATACAACTCTCTGAATCAATATAACGTTACACAAATAATACATTATGAAGCGCACTCATTCATTCATATACTCGCCTTTTTGTTTGAGAATAACACGTGAGCAACGGTTCTGAAAAAGCGCATGAGATCTCGCTCACGCCACCCGCATAGAAATAGAGCTGATGAAAGATAAACAATCCCGTAACAACAATCTGTTATTGTTTATATCAAAGAAAGTGAATATGTGAATTATTGTTAAATGTAGTTGCAATCAACATTATTCGAACATTGTTATGTGATAGCAAAAAATAAATAAACTATACAGGTCCCACACTCCACAATACTTCATTGTCCGTGACACGCCGCATGTATATATAGTTTCAATACAAGCAGTTGTGCGGATAGTATTATCACGCCGGCAAGCATTTAAGGTGAGTGTACTGTTGATATACTCCAACCAAATCATTTGATATATTATGGCTATATGTTGTATTATATGATACCAGGTTGATATTTTTTCATCATCCCCGTTGTTTAACGCTTATAAAGATGTTATGTCAGTTCAGTAGTGCTATATATATGTATATATACCGTCGTCTCGTAACACGCCTGTCGGGTAGGTGAGAGAGTGGCGTTGCTCTTTCACTGACAGTGTCACCCGGGTAAGTGGGTGTGGTATCGCTGTCACCCCAGTAACCCGAAGGGTCAGTTTCTCACCGTCAGTCCATTTGACATAGTTCAGAATGATGTTGAATTTGACTTATAATCAGCATCGTTAAACTGTTATGTATATAAGTTGCCCATTTCGACTGATAACTCCGCTATATATGTGTCACCGGCGAATGAACACAAGGCATGTGTAGACATGTTTTGTAACTTGTGGTTGGGCGCGGCCTCTGAATCAGTTGCTGCCTGCACTTCTATTCGGGACACATGTACGCTGACGGTCTACTGATTACAGGTGCGCGTAGGTAGGATTTTATGTTTGTTTTAATTATTCAGAGAAATGCATTCTTTACAGAAATCTGTCTGTGGTGTCTTTGTATTTGTTTATTACGTCTATGAATCCGCCGAACCGAAATTTACATCCGTGCATCTTCTTTCTTTGTTGTTTAACGCCGCACTCAGCAATATTCAAGCTATATAACGGCACTTTGTAAGTAATCGTGTCTGGGCCATACAATCTTGTGCTTGACATCATGGGCGGATACAGCTTTTTTGAAAAGGGGTGGTGGGGGTGGGTGGGTGCACAATTAAGATCTATATATTGTCTTTAGTGGTAATTTATACAGAAATAAAGATTTTTCCGAAATAAAAAAGCGGGGGGGGGGGGGGGGGGGGGGGGGGGTGCGCATCCCCGCATACCCCCTCTGTATCCGCCCATGGACATTATGAGCATCGATCCACGCGATTGGGATACGATGACATGCATCAACCAAGTCAGCGAGCCTGACCACCCGATCCCATTTACAACAAGCATAGTTGCCACCGTGCAACTAAATGATAATTAAAATAGACCGTTTCTCTTCTAGAAGTATGTGGTTATATTGAAAATAAATGATGTGGGAAAGGAGGTAGCATTATTAAAACCCAACTGATCATATCTTATCATATGCGGTTTTACTTTCATTTCAGAAGTTTCAGAAATAAAAATAAGTAGAAAAACCGACCATTAATTAGGAGGCCTGAATTCATTTATCAATACAGTAAACTACAGGGTCTACTAATTTTAGTTCGTTATAACCATAGTTCGTTATAAGCATATATGCAGCATAAGTACAGCAAACAGTCGGGACCAAAAAAGTAAGTTCGTTATATCCGTCAGTTCGTTAAAAGCGTGTTCGTTATTACCGTATTTTACTGTATGTCGCATTTTAGATGATGTAGGTGGCAATGTGTCAAATGTGTTTCCTTACAAGCAGTTGCACGTGAAGAATAGCCTTTTGCAGTTAAACATTAAAACAGATGAATGATTCATCACAATGAAAACATGTTACAATAAACACGACGAAAGCATTTCAATAATACCACGAAATCTCTGCTAAAGCATACTATTAGTCAATTTACGATACCGACTCATCATGAACAGGTGTTTATGATTCACTATCAATGAGTGATGATACTAGGTGTTCGCACAGCACCTTAATATTCAAGCTGACATTCAGTTTTCTTCTCTGCGCTCTGCAGGGATTGGTTGGTTGGTTTGTTGTTAAACGACGCACTCCGCAATATTCCAGCTATATGACGGCGGTCTGTAAATAATATCATGAGCATCGATCCACGCAATTGGGATCGATCACATGCATCAACCAAGTCAGCGAGCCTGACCACCCGATCCCGTTAGTCGCCTCTTACGTCAAGCATGGTCGCCTCTTACGACAAGCATAGTCGCCTTTTACGGCAAGCATGGGTTGCTGAAGACTTATTCTACCTGCAGGGAACAAGTGAGAGTGAGTATTGATAACGCTGCTTTTAGCACTGACAACGGGAGACAGGGAACACCCGATATGGGATCACAAATTGTACCCATGCCACGTCCACACGTCATTTTTATGAATATCTATACATCTATGTGATATCGCCGCTATCCCTTGAAGTTTGTGTGGCAAGTCTCAAACCTGCGATTCATGTATTTTTTAATATATAAATGTTAGGCGAAATATATATTTCTCGGACACATATTTGTCAAAGGTATGCTTGTCGTAAAAGGCGACTCACGGGATCGGGTGGTCAGGCTGGCTGACTTGGTTGATGCATGTCATCGTATCCCAATTGCGTGGATCGATGCTCATGATGTTAATCACTGGATTGTCTGGTCAAGATATTTACAGTCTGCCGTCATATAGCTGGAATATTGCTAAGTGCGGTGTTAAACAATAAACAAACAAACAAAATTTGTCAAAGGCGAAGAGAGGTAGGATTATTAATTTTTATTGAAGACACAAGTGATGAGGGTGGGGGGGGGGGGTGGGGTGGGGGGGGGGTCATGTATTTTGTCCCCACTAAGCTCACCAACAACACACCTGGGCACACACTGGCCTCGACCCTTTAATACAATATCAGTTGTCAAGCACGGAAAACAGTATGCTTCATTTGAAAAATATTTTTATTGGCTTTATTAATGACTTATGCGCAGGTTTTAAAGTGCACGATACCCGTGAAACATTTCGTGTTTATCGTCTTACTTCTTTTGATATTCTCATACAGCTGATGTCACGCTTCTATCAGCGCTGAAATTATCTGTTACTCATGTTTGAAGTGATAGACTGATAGTGGAGATGTATGTTTAACGCTCGGTCCGTACGTTTCGACACCAGGACACTTGACCCGTGAAGATCCGGGGTAGAATAGGTCTTCAGCAACCCATGCTTGCCGTAAAAGGCAACTTTGCTTGTCGTAGGAGGCGACTAACGGGATCGGGTGGCCAGGCTCGCAGACTCGATTATTTACAGACCTCCGTCATATAGCTGGAATATTGCTGAGGGCGGCGTTAAACAACAAAGAAAGAAAGAAACAAACAAACATCAGGTCACTCACATGTTATCGCGTACGGGGGTCGAGACATCAGGCTTAGATAATACACAGCTAATAGATAACTGATTCTAGAGCTGCAACTGTGGTCAGACACGTTAGATTATATCTAGGATGATTACAATAAGACGTGTCAATGCCGTTGGTCTGAATCTTGATTTGGTCTTTGAAATCGGGTGAGTATATGTTTTAAAGACGGCCATAGTATTTTAATGTGTTTTTGGAATCCCAATTTTCAGATTAAAAGGGGTCTTAGAAAATAAATAAGAAATTATCATAATTATCAAAATGCCTTTGATTTAGAAGACTGATTTAGAACTGATATGTTGACTGTTATTTCAGATATGACAAAATATCGTGATTGAGCTTTATTCGCAGTGGAACGGTTTGCGTATCTGCTATAAGACGTAACAATACACTATAAGCAGATTTACACAGCGCGGATTTTGTAAAATACCTTTCGGGACGATATATATTTAATTGGGTGGATCGGAGAATATGTAACATGTTTAATGTATTTGATCGGGACGGTAATTAAGGATCGAAGGGAGGATACAAAATACAGCTTATAGATGCGATTCCCACGTCCATAGATGCAAAAGTGATGCCGCCAAAGTTCACCCACTTAGCCGGATAACCAAGCAGAAGGATTCATGTCAGTATTAACCATGTTATAAGACACACATTCTCACGATATACTGCGAAGTTGTGTGGCATGTTTTCTTTCACATGAAAAGATAAACAAAAAAGTACACTCACACAATAGACACACACGCAATGACACACACAGACAGACACGCAAAGAAACACAGAAACACACAATGGCACACACAAACACACACTGAAATACACACACAAAAGACACATACAAACACCCAAAGACAAAAATAGACACACACACATGCAAAGACACACACACATACAAAGACACGCAAAAACACTCACGAAGACACACACATACATGTACACACAATCACACACATACACAAAGTCACACACGTACACAGACACATGCATTTACACACGTACACACTCAAAGGTACACGGGCACGGGCACGGGCACACACACACACACACACACACACAAAGACACGCGAACACACAAACAGAAACATTCATAAAATTTAGTTCTGTTTCACTTACTAACAATTCAACAGGCTGAAGTATACAAGTTCTATTCCAGCATAACCCTTTATGGATGTGGGATGACCCTCGACTAACAACGACGGCAGTCAGGTTCACAGAGCTCCTCGCAACACAGCACGCGGGGCACGGCACGGCAGTAAGGTCGGCGCTGTGCCCTAGCTCTCGTGTTCGTTTTATCATGATCTACGCGCTATTGATAGTGCTGGCTCAGACCCCAACGACCTCGGCTCCTGTGAGTACTGCCGAGGTTTATATTTTTCATTTGCAAAATGACATGCACAAAAATTCAATCAGGACGTAAGCAGTTTCTTTTGTTTGTTTGTTTGTTGTTTAACGCCGCACCCAGCAATATTCCAGCTATATGACGGCGGTCTGTAAATAATCGAGTCTGGACCAGACAATCCAGTGATTGACAGCATGAGCATCGATCCACGCAATTGGGATCGATGACATGTATCAACCAAGTCAGCGACTCTGACCACCCGATCCCGTTAGTCATTCTGATACTGATCGTTCTTACGTCCCAAAGGACAGAACTGGTACGTTTGAATTCACACGCTCGTGGACGTATCACTGTCAGTAGCAACTATCCGCTAATTTTATAAAGTTGTATCTTTACGATTGTTTAACACATAATACCAAAACATATTACATTTTTTTCTAAAATGGGGGGCACGGGTGGCCCAGTCGTCTAAGGCGCCGCGATTCGCCGTGCAGTGTTGCGTCCCTTGGGCACGCCAGAAACCTATGACTGTGGGTTCGAATCCCGGTTCGCCCCGATTATGTTTCTAGGTTTGTCAGCACCATACCCGTGCTCGTGGGTTTCCCCGAAGTGGTAAACGTCTGAGACCTGTATCACTTCGAGCTTTCCTCCCACATTAAGTGTACACGCCGTGACATAACTGGAATACTGTTAAAAGCGGCGTTAAACTTAACTCACTCACTCACTCTAAAATCCATAAATTCCAGCCAACTCCCGACAACGACAGCGATCACCTGACAACATATCTTCACAATGGACACACGTGTGTCAAGTGTAAGCCAGGGACATTTCTTACTGACCACTGCACAAGTAACTTCAAGTCCTCGGAGTGCGCGTCTTGCCCGCCCGACCACTTCCAGACGCACTACACCCGGGCCAGGTGGTGTCAGCCCTGCCACGCCCACTGTCTCCACGACGACAATATGATTGAAGTCAAGGGGTGCTCGGCTACTGAAGATCTAGCCTGCAAGTGCAAGGAGGGATACTATGAAGAGAGATTGGCGAATGGACATTCACTGATTCGCACCTGTTTCCCCTACACGCCTTGTGTGCCGGGTCAAATAGTAGTGAAGAATGGTTTGTATAAATTAATTCATATTCAAGTAAATATAAAACATGAGAGATACCATTTTCCATTTTCTTTTTTTTTTAAATTTCTAAACTTTTTACTTTCCCTTTGTTTGGGGCTCCAGTAATACTCTTTATTTTGTCTTTTGTATAATTCGGAGTCGTAACCAGATTTTTTTTCTGAACTTACGTTACATTATTTAATCTTCGGTATTGTGTCGTATATTTTATTCTGATAGCGTGAAACCTCGTTAGTTCGGACCTCCTTAATCTGGACTCTCCGTATTCCGGCCGATTACTTTTGGAAATTAGGCTATAACTCCAGAGCTATGCTTCGTGTATCGGGACACTCGTTGATCCGACTATTGCCCGGTTAACAGTATCCCCGTGTATCTTAGAAGCATGGTACCTTATTCTGAACATGTTGACGCTGAGCCCCCTCTCCTAGGAAGTTGATTCTCAGACATGCCAGAGACAACCCGTGAAGATCCGGGGTAGAATAGGCCTTCAGCAACCCATGCGTGCCGTAAGAGGCGACTATGCTTGTCGTAAGAGGCGACTAACGGGATTGGGTGGTCAGACTCGCTGACTTGGTTGATGCATGTCATCGTATCCCAATTGCGTGGATCGATGCTGATGATGTCAATTACTAAATTGTCTGGCCAAGACTCGAACTGCCGTCATATAACTGGACTATTGCGGTGTTAGACAACAAACAAACAGGTAAATAGAACGGATGATTTAACTATGACGCTCTTTAAATGTGCGTTTCAATGAAGCTGATGGGGCGACAGGTCTAACTGAACTCAGTTTGTTGATGCATGTCATCGATCCCAATTGCGTGGATCGATGCTCATGATATCAATCATCAATAAGTGTGCTCGTGGGTTTCACCAAAGCGGTTAACCTGTATCACTTTCCGAGGTTTCTTCCCACACCAAGCGTTCACGGACCGCCTCCGTGGTCTAGTGGTAGTGCGTCCGCCCGGAGAGCGGAAGGTCCAGGGTTCGATCCCCGACCGCGTCATACCAAAAGACGTACATGTTGTTACCCTGTCTGGCGCTCGGCATTAAAGGGCTAAAACAAGGACTGGTCGGCTCGGAGTCAGTATACTGAGTGGGGTATTCATGTTAAACTGCGGCATGGTATCTCAGAGAGCTAGCACTATAAATCGGCATCAGTCCGGACTAGTACAAGCAGCCACACAAACATACATACGTACATGCACGTTGCTATATAAGTGCAATAATCTTGGACGCGACGTTAAACCCAATTTCACCTCACCTCACCTCACCAAGCGTTCACGCCTTCGTATAGCTGTTGTAAGCAGCGTTGAACCATACTCACCCACTCGCTCAGTTTAACGAAGTGGGATTGAACATGAAAAAAACACACGCATGGACACGAACATGGAACAATGACCGAAGACTCAGTCCTTAAAGCCAAGTAATTTTAATTGATAAAATAATAGCATATGCACTACAATGACGTCATATCAATTGTTATTTTCTGACGGCCAGGTACAGACTTCGCCGACCAGGAGTGCGGCTTCTGTGGATCCGGTCACTTTGCCAAGGGAGACAACTGTGTCACGTGTAGCTCGTGCAGTGGCAACACCACAGTTCTACGGCCATGTGACGTCACGGCTGATGTCGTGTGTTCGACAATTCAACACGTAAACGGTATGTACAAAAGGAATTTGTAGTTACAATTTCTTGACTCCGTGATCACGACCCTCTCAGTCCAAAATAGATTACCTGTATCGCAGAGCGGACATCCAGATAAGCTGCATTAACCTCGTTTTGAGCCCGACTCAAAATAAATGACGCTTGACAAGGCCTTCCCATCAAATTACAATAACGAGCGAAAGAAATTATAACAGATAAGACAGATTGAGATGGTTACGTGGCGAAGTGTCCAGGGTATATTGACCGCCTCCGTGGTCTAATGGTAGGCCGAGGTTCGATCCCCGGCCGCGTCATACCAAAAGACGTTAAAAGATGGTACTTGTTGTTACCCTGTCTGGCGCTCGGCATTAAGGGGCTAAAAGACAAGGACTGGTCGGCTCAGAGTCAGTATACTGTGTCTGAGTGGGGTATTCATGTTAAACTGCGGCATGGTATCTCAGTGGGCTAGCACTATAAATCGGCATCTGACTGGACTAGTACAAGCAGCCACACACACACACACACACACACACACACACACACACACACACGTGCATGCACGTCGCTATATAAGTGCAATAATCTTGAACGCGACGTTAAACCCCATTTCACCTCACCTCACCTCACCAGGGTATATTATAATGGAAAGGAAATTACCCTGGATAAATGAGGATAAGTTCGATGTGAGGTAAAAAAATGAATTCCTGAATGTTTTGTGAGGATGATCATCAGTTCTGCCTGCTTTTCATCTGACGGCATTTCTGTCACCATATAACAGTTCAAATCGTCAAATCTCTACCCTGAAAATGTGATGACATGGCTTACCATGAATGTTTGAAATCTTAACTATGTTAGGATATTTATTTTCAAATCCGACGCTTCATAAACGTTTGAACTGCTCCCTGAGAATAGAGTCGATATCGCGTAGACCGTCACAAGAAGAACACAAAGTGTTAGACACTGGGTATTGTTCGTGAATAGTGAGTGAGTTGGGTTTAACGCCGCTTTTAACAGTATTCCAGTTATGTCACGGCATGTCAGCTTAATGTGGGAGGAATGCCCGAAGTGATACAGGTCTCAGACGTTTACCACTTCGGTGAAACCCACGAGCACGGGTATGGTGCTGACAAACCTAGAAACATAATCGGGGCGAACCTGGATTCGAACCTACAATCATAGGTTTCTGGCGTGCCCAAGGGACGCAACTCTGCACAGCGAATCGCGGCGCCTTAGACGACTGGGCCACCCGTGCTCCCTGTTCGTGAATAGAAAATTCCCCCCCGCGAATCCATTGCCATATTTGTAATGTTCAATAGTAACTGAAGTAATTTCGGTTTCAGCATTTACTTAATAAAGTTATTTATTGTACGCAAGTCTCTAAATATAGATATATTATTTAATATATGTTTAGCGTTTGATATTTAATAAACTGCTTGTTATGGCTTATATTGATTGCCAGGAATAGGGTAACTTGTACAATTCTAAATACGCTGAGGCTACAACCACGTTTATACCTCACACCGAAAAGAAGTTAGGAATATTGTTGGTTTGTAGTGATGTTAGCCCATTTCATGTGTTAGGATCCTAACATTTCTTTACAATGTACAGTGAGTTGGGTTTTACTCCGCTTTTAACAGTACCCCAGTTCTATCACGGCGTGTCAGCTTAATTTGGGAGGAAAGCCCGAAGTGATGCAGGTCTTAGACGTTTACTACTTCGGTGAAACCCACAAACCTAGTAACATAATATAGGTGAGCGTGGGATTCGAACCCACGATCATATGTTTGTGGCGTACCCTGGGGACAGTATATGACCAACGGTGACTTAAAAGACTGTATTCTGTTCAGAGACCGACGTTGATCTACCTGACGAAGCTGGTGACACGACCATTGTGATACTGTCAAGCATTGCGATTGGTATCTTCGTGTGTGGCGCTTCCGTCATACTCATTGTGGTCATGATCTTCAAACGAAAATGTCGCGTACAGAATGATGACTCTATTGTACAGACCGACAAAAGGTAAATCACTTTCATTTGCATATCTGCACATTGATAAAGGCTGCATAATATACTCACTCACCCTGAATACCGCGCCGCAGAATGGATTCACAGAAACTTTTTTTCAGTATATATAACATCAGAATCCTCAGCACTGCTATGTTTTAATGAGTAAATGATAATCTCTCCATGGCCAAGTTAATGAAGCGTCTGTTTGTTTGTTTGTTTGTTGTTTAACGCTTCACTCAGCAATATTCCAGCTATAGGACGGCGGTCTGTAAATAATCGAGTCTGGACCAGACAATCCAGTGATTGACATCATGAGCATCGATCCACGCACTTGGGGTCGATGACATGCATCAGCCAAGTCAACGAGCCTGACCACCCGATCCCGTTAGTCGCCTCTTACGACAAGCATAGTCACCTTTTACAGCAAGCATGGGTTGCTGAAGACCTATTCTACCCCGGATCTTCACAGGTGTCATGTATCCTACACCCGTAAAGGTCGGGGTGAGAATAGGCCTTCAGCAACCCATAAATGCCCTAAAGGCGACTACGCTTGTAAGATCTGATGGTCAGGCTCGGTGACCTGGTTGATGCATGTCATCGTATCCAAATTGCGTGGATCTATGCTCATGATGTCAATCACTGGATTGTCTGGTCCAGACTCGATTATTTACAGACTGCCGTCCTATAGCTGGAATATTGCTGAGTGTGGCGTTAAACAAGAAACCAGCCAACCAACCTACCTAAAAGGCGACTACGCTTGTGAGATCGGGTCGTCAGGCTCGGTGACCTGTTTGGGGCATGTCATCGTATCCCAATTGCGTGGATCGATGCTCATGATATTAATCACTAGACTCTCTGGTCCAGACTCGATTATTTACAGACCGCCGTCATATAGCTCACACAAATTGCACAAAGACTTGGCATCGGAAAAAAGAGAGTTGCCTACTGTTTGTGATGGGTGCGTCATTGGTCTGGATGGATCGGTGACTGTTAATAATTACAAATATAACGCAATATACGACAAATACACGCGGGGGTATCAGAATTTCAATGTTTATTTATTTGCTTTCAGTAACGTCCCACTGCTAGTAGTAAAGACGCCGGCAGCGACTGCGACGTCCCAGTCCACCCCGCCAGTGACGGCTGAGGAGGCGAGGAAGGCGTTAGTGAAACGACAGCGATCCAGGACCCTCAGTGAAAGCAGCGTCGTTAGTGCCAGCACACAGATCTACTTCCCCTCTCTTCAAGGTAACACCGCCATTGATCTGGACGCCCGTTCAAGCCTGAATATAGGGCTTCCATTACCCACTCGTCAAGGTCGCCGCAGTTGTGTCCCTTTGGCGTGACAGGAACCTATGACCGTGGGTTCGATTCAAAACTCGCTGTGATAATTTGTCTAGGGTTGTCAGAACCATGTCCATATGCCCTGGGTTTCTCCAAAGTGGTAGCTATATAGGGAGCAAGACCTGACTCAGTTCGGGCCTTCATCCCACACTACATCGGGTCAGAGTATCCCAACGCTTGTACTGGTCGACTAGGATCAGATTTTTACAATATGTGATCTGGTTGATCGTGCGTCATTAGATACCAGACTATTTCTTTAGCTAACTAGTCTTATCGGAATAAAGATAATGCCCCCGCACAAGAAAGGTCCCGTTAAATTTGGTCCCGTTAGAATTGGGTTTCAAAAAGCCATGCTAGTCGTTAGAGGCGACTGACGGGATTGGGTGGTCAGGCTCGCTGATTTGGTTGATGCATGTCATCTTATGGAATTGCGTATGTAGATGCTCATGATGTCAACCACTGGATTATCTGGTCCAGACTCGATTATTTACAGACCGTCGTCATATTGCTGGATAATGCAGAGTTCGTCCTTAAAGAGGTTGCATACAAAAAACAAAAAATTCAAGAAATGGGTATATTTGGTATCAATTTGTAGGAAAATATATCCTGAATCAAATTACGGAATAAAAAAACCAAGTCACCACGGCATTTTTTGAATAAGTGGCGCCATCTAGAGGCTCCGGATAATAAAATCATTTTGCCAATAAAATGGTCTTTTTAAAGTTTGATTATTAAATGAGTGTTTATAAATAGACATATTACAGTATTGATATGACACAAAACAGAAAAATGAAAATTCAAGTCAAAAAATTTTTAATTTCACACATCATTTGACTTTAAAAAAAGTACATTTTCCAAAAAAAATGATTCATCAGTCAAAAAAGCATTTTACAAAATCAAGATATTTTTCAAACTGGCTTATTTCTAATGTTTATTCATTGAAAAATAAAAGTATAAAATAAAAACAACATGTTACCAGAGGATATTCAAATTATTTTCAATCAACACATCATACCCCTAAAATAATGAATCAGGGGAGGTAACTCTTGCCCAAATTTACATTTCTACGAGTACAATTAGCCAAGAGTCAAAGGGACGTAACCGCATTACAAATACTCGCCATTACATGAACGATGGTATCCAACGTCTTTAAACAAAGAACAGTCCGCACCTGACATCACTGTGTTTTTCTTCATTTAACTCGTCCCTGTGCTATTTGTCCAGGTGTAGGTCGCCCTAAAACATATAGGTCCCCCTAAAGCATATATAGGTATATTTCTCCATCCATACATACTGCAACAGTAGCGCGCGACGTTTATACCTATTTGACAGACTTCGTACGTAATAATTACCATACGACTTTGCCCGCATGTGAGTTGGCGTGAGTGAGTGAGTTTGGTTTTACCCCGCTTAAGCAATATGCCAGCAATATCACGGCGGAACACCAGAAATGGGTTTCACACAGTGCACCCATGTCGGGAATCGAACCTGGGTCTTCGGCCTGACAAGCGAACGCTTTCATAATAAGGCTAACCCCCATATGAGATGGAAACGATTGCGTAAGAATTGACAAGTAACATGAAAGGTATTTGTCTTTACTGCCATAGTAACAGACCGCCCCCGTGGTCTTGTGGTAGAGCGTCCGCCCGGAGAGCGGAAGGTCCAGGGTTCGATCCCGGGCCGCGTCATACAAAAAGACGTTAAAAGATTGTACTTGTTGTTACCCTGTCTGGCGCTCGGCATTAAGGGGCTAAAACAAGGACTGGTCGGCTCGGAGTCAGTATACTGTGTCTGAGGGGGGTATTCATGTTAAACTGCGGCATGGTATCTCAGTGAGCTAGCACTATAAATCGGCATCAGTCCGGACTAGTACAAGCAGCCACACACACACACACATACACGTGCATGCACGTCGCTATATAAGTGCAATAATCTTGGACGCGACGTTAAACCCAATTTCACCTCACCTCACCTCACCTCACCTCACCATAGTAACAACAATGTTGACCTATATCATGTTGTTCTTACTGACGCTATCTGTGGTCATATTAGGACATAATTGCCTATGAAATACCTAACCGATAAACGATGAAGCAGGACAGAAAATTGTGCAATTAATCCCACCTGACTGTTTCTTTCTTGCTGTTTGTTCTGTATTAGAAATTGAAGTAACGGTATTTTAATATATACTTATGAATTGTAAACGTGTCTCTGGAAAAATGGTCTTTCGTGCAATAAACAATATTAATATCTTTGCTTCGAGCTCACCTTTGACGCTCTGTTTCAAGTTCATGATTGAGTTTACTTATCGATCTATGTTCCATAATTGCAGACCCTGATTCATGGACTGGACACATCTTCCCAATTCTGTGTAAACATCTAACAGGGAACTGGAAAATGTTCATGCGAAATTTACCAGGTAATTAAAGAACATCGGCTCAAATCACCCCAACACTATGAGGATCCGAGGTAGATTTTATCTTCAGCAACCAATGCTTGTCGTAAGAGGCGACTGACGGGGTTGGGTGGTCAGGCTCGCTGATTTGGGTGATGCATGTTATCTTATCCCAAATGCGTAGATCACTGGATTGTCTGGTCATGATTCGATTATATACAGACCGCCGCCAGACAGCTGGAATAATGGTGAGAGCGGCTTTAAGCAACAAGTGAGTGAGTTAATAATTAACGTCACATCGACAACAGTTCAGCCATATCGTGACGGTTAAGCAACAAACAAATAGTCAACTTTCGCATCTGACTGAAATTTTTTAATGTTAACATCAATAAAGTTTTTTTTTCAAACACTGTACATGTAAACACACAACTATCATCTCCAGGTCTTTGGTTTACAGAAAACATGTTGTACCTGTGAATGTAGGTTTCATGATGTTCATGTGACACTCAGGTGACGAGGAGTACGCATCATGTATCGACGCTCGCTGTGATCAGATCTGTGACGACATCAGGAATGACACACAGGAGCAGATCTACAAGGCTCTCCGAGAGTGGAAACAAGCCCATGATTGGCCCATCATGTCTGTGGAGAGCATTCTGTGCTCCTTGCAGACCATTGGTGGATGCGAGGTGATGCAGAAGAACATCTTTGACAAGGGACTCAAGCTGGACCAAAAAAACTCCGAAAAAAACCCGAATAATTGACATTGGATACCCATTCAGTACTATCTCGACGTGGTTATACAGCGAGGGAAGCTGAGGATTCAGCCCTCGTTTCGTAACCAAGATAAATATTTTAAACGTTTCATCTCCATTTTCAATCGTCTTTGGATGTAACGATACTTAATGTTTAACTGGAGCTGGTACATTGTTCTTCGTATGCAAGTCGCCTACTGTTAATATTATCGTGACATCGTTTCACTGTCATTATTTCAAGTCTGAATGGGGGGCACAGGTGGCCCAGTCGTCTAAGGCGCCGCGATTTGCTGTGCAGAGTTGCGTCCCTTGAGCACGCCAGAAACCTATGATCGTGGGTTCGAATCCCGGTTCGCTCTGATTATGTTTCTAGGTTTGTCAGCACCATAGCGCGTGCTGGTGGGTTTCACCGAAGTGGTAAACGTCTGAGACCTGCATCACTTCGGGCTTTCCTCCCACATTAAGCTGACACGCCGCGATATAACTGGAATAATGTTAAAAGCGGCGTGAAACCCAACTCACTCACTCACTCAAGACTGAATGTCATGTGCAGGTTTGCCAACTTCGGATGATCTAACCTCAGGACATCACGGAGACAAATCACACTGGTTGCAATTGTACCATCCCTGTTACTTTATCGGTTTCCAGTCTCATCACATTCGGTAGCATCGTTGATCTCCGTCTTCATCAAAGAACATTTAACTCTGTTAAATTCAACTCGAAGTCTTAAGTGGAATAAATTCAAGTTCTTATATGTTCTGTGTTCGATTTATTTAAAACTCACAGTTTGTCTTTATTTGAGATATTATGTTTTTATACACTTAACCGCAAAATAAATGCGAGTAACGTTTTTTGTTTGTGAAATGCACAAAATAGTAATTTGTGAGAAGAAATGTATACAAACGTAAAGAGACACATTGAAGAAACACTTTTCACTATTTACATCATTCATTTAGAGAACGTGGCAGGAACCAGTCGTTTCGTCTCGTTTGACGTTTTTTGCACGGGCACAGAAAATCACATGCAAAAATGCGAGCATTTCTCCATTGTCTAACCTTTATAAGCCACCTTATAAAGAGTGAGTGAGTATGATTTAGCGCCGCTTTTAGCAATATTCCAGCAATATCACGGCGGGTGACACCAGAAATGGGCTTCACCCATTGTACCCATGTCTGGAATCGAACCCGGGTGTTCGGCGTGACGAGCGAACGCTTTAACCACTAGGCTACCCGACCGCCCCTACCTTATAAAGCACACACCAGGCATTTCACACTCGACTTTGAAAAAGGACAGGAAACATGGTTCGATAAACTGAACCCTTGACAGGTGTTGCATTGGGATGCTACAGGGGCCCGTTTCACAAAGCGATTGTAGCGCTAAGACAGTCGTAAGTCTATGTTAAAGTATAGGGGTCACGGTAGTCGTAGCGCTACGATAGCTTTGTGAAACGGGTCCCTTATCAACTGCAGTGGCGAGGCACTTTGGCTGTCACGTCCAGATTGGTCGCAAGGCATCAACAGACAGGCAGTGTCCAAGACCAGCCTTGTTCTGAGCGACCGAGGGTCACTGCTCCAGCGCATGACCGCCACATCCTGGGGACACATCTGCCTGACCGACAGCGACGAGCAACACCGACAGAAGCAACCATTTAAGGTCCACGTCATCCCGTGTCAGCCGACAAAGTTCGTCGTCGTCTGAGAGCGGCGGGAATCTGATGTCGTCCATACGCCGGGGCCATACTGACTCAACGTCACCGACAACGTCCGCAGTGGGCCCAACAGCACCTGCGTTGGCAACGTTAAAAGTCACAGAGTCTTCTCAGACGAATCAAGCATAAACGTTTCACTCCGATGGCCGCATCAGAGTGTGGAGACGACGTAATGAGTGTTACGCTTACTGCTGTGTCTTACAGGCCGACTGGTGGGGAGGAGGAAGCATCATGGTATAGAGACGACGTAATGAGTGTTACGCTAACTGCTGTGTCTTACAGGCCGACCGGTGGGGAGGAGGAAGCATCATGGTGTGGAGACGACGTAATGAGTGTTACGCTAACTGCTATCTTACAGGCCGACCGGTGGGGGAGGAGGAAGCATCAGAGTGTGGAGACGACGTAATGAGTGTTACGCTAACTGCTGTGTCTTACAGGCCGACTGGTGGGGAGGAGGAAGCATCATGGTGTGGAGACCACGTAATGAGTGTTACGCTAACTGCTGTGTCTTACAGGCCGACTGGTGGGGAGGAGGAAGCATCATGGTGTGGAGACCACGTAATGAGTGTTACGCTAACTGCTGTGTCTTACAGGCCGACCGGTGGGGAGGAGGAAGCATCATGGTGTGGAGACGACGTAATGAGTGTTACGCTAACTGCTGTCTTACAGGCCGACCGGTGGGGGAGGAGGAAGCATCATGGTATGGAGACGACGTAATGAGTGTTACGCTAACTGCTGTGTCTTACAGGCCGACCGGTGGGGAGGAGGAAGCATCATGGTGTGGAGACGACGTAATGAGTGTTACGCTAACTGCTGTGTCTTACAGGCCGACCGGTGGGAGGAGGAAGCATCATGGTATGGAGACGACGTAATGAGTGTTACGCTAACTGCTGTGTCTTACAGGCCGACCGGTGGGAGGAGGAAGCATCATGGTATGGAGACGACGTAATGAGTGTTACGCTAACTGCTATCTTACAGGCCGACCGGTGGGAGGAGGAAGCATCATGGTGTGGAGACGACGTAATGAGTGTTACGCTAACTGCTGTGTCTTACAGGCCGACCGGTGGGGAGGAGGAAGCATCATGGTATGGAGACGACGTAATGAGTGTAGCTCTAACTGCTGTGTCTTACAGGCCGACTGGTGGGGAGGAGGAAGCATCATGGTATGGAGACGACGTAATGAGTGTTACGCTAACTGCTGTGTCTTACAGGCCGACCGGTGGGGAGGAGGAAGCATCATGGTGTGGAGACGACGTAATGAGTGTTACGCTAACTGCTGTCTTACAGGCCGACCGGTGGGGGAGGAGGAAGCATCATGGTATGGAGACGACGTAATGAGTGTTACGCTAACTGCTGTGTCTTACAGGCCGACCGGTGGGGAGGAGGAAGCATCATGGTATGGAGACGACGTAATGAGTGTAGCTCTAACTGCTGTGTCTTACAGGCCGACTGGTGGGGAGGAGGAAGCATCATGGTATGGAGACGACGTAATGAGTGTTACGCTAACTGCTGTGTCTTACAGGCCGACCGGTGGGGAGGAGGAAGCATCATGGTATGGAGACGACGTAATGAGTGTAGCTCTAACTGCTGTGTCTTACAGGCCGACTGGTGGGGAGGAGGAAGCATCATGGTATGGAGACGACGTAATGAGTGTTACGCTAACTGCTGTCTTACAGGCCGACCGGTGGGGAGGAGGAAGCATCATGGTGTGGAGACGACGTAATGAGTGTTACGCTAACTGCTGTGTCTTACAGGCCGACCGGTGGGGAGGAGGAAGCATCATGGTGTGGAGACGACGTAATGAGTGTTACGCTAACTGCTGTCTTACAGGCCGACCGGTGGGGGAGGAGGAAGCATCATGGTATGGAGACGACGTAATGAGTGTTACGCTAACTGCTGTGTCTTACAGGCCGACCGGTGGGGAGGAGGAAGCATCATGGTATGGAGACGACGTAATGAGTGTAGCTCTAACTGCTGTGTCTTACAGGCCGACTGGTGGGGAGGAGGAAGCATCATGGTATGGAGACGACGTAATGAGTGTTACGCTAACTGCTGTGTCTTACAGGCCGACCGGTGGGGAGGAGGAAGCATCATGGTATGGAGACGACGTAATGAGTGTAGCTCTAACTGCTGTGTCTTACAGGCCGACCGGTGGGGAGGAGGAAGCATCATGGTGTGGAGACGACGTAATGAGTGTTACGCTAACTGCTGTCTTACAGGCCGACCGGTGGGGGAGGAGGAAGCATCATGGTATGGAGACGACGTAATGAGTGTTACGCTAACTGCTGTGTCTTACAGGCCGACCGGTGGGGAGGAGGAAGCATCATGGTATGGAGACGACGTAATGAGTGTAGCTCTAACTGCTGTGTCTTACAGGCCGACTGGTGGGGAGGAGGAAGCATCATGGTATGGAGACGACGTAATGAGTGTTACGCTAACTGCTGTGTCTTACAGGCCGACCGGTGGGGAGGAGGAAGCATCATGGTATGGAGACGACGTAATGAGTGTAGCTCTAACTGCTGTGTCTTACAGGCCGACTGGTGGGGAGGAGGAAGCATCATGGTATGGAGACGACATAATGAGTGTTACGCTAACTGCTGTGTCTTACAGGCCGACCGGTGGGGAGGAGGAAGCATCATGGTATGGAGACGACGTAATGAGTGTAGCTCTAACTGCTGTGTCTTACAGGCCGACTGGTGGGGAGGAGGAAGCATCATGGTATGGAGACGACGTAATGAGTGTTACGCTAACTGCTGTGTCTTACAGGCCGACCGGTGGGGAGGAGGAAGCATCATGGTATGGAGACGACGTAATGAGTGTAGCTCTAACTGCTGTGTCTTACAGGCCGACTGGTGGGGAGGAGGAAGCATCATGGTATGGAGACGACGTAATGAGTGTTACGCTAACTGCTGTGTCTTACAGGCCGACCGATGGGGAGGAGGAAGCATCATGGTATGGAGACGACGTAATGAGTGTTACGCTAACTGCTGTGTCTTACAGGCCGACTGGTGGGGAGGAGGAAGCATCATGGTATGGAGACGACGTAATGAGTGTTACGCTAACTGCTGTCTTACAGGCCGACCGGTGGGGGAGGAGGAAGCATCATGGTATGGAGACGACGTAATGAGTGTAGCTCTAACTGCTGTGTCTTACAGGCCGACCGGTGGGGAGGAGGAAGCATCATGGTATGGAGACGACGTAATGAGTGTAGCTCTAACTGCTGTGTCTTACAGGCCGACCGGTGGGGAGGAGGAAGCATCATGGTATGGAGACGACGTAATGAGTGTAGCTCTAACTGCTGTGTCTTACAGGCCGACCGGTGGGGAGGAGGAAGCATCATGGTGTGGAGACGACGTAATGAGTGTTACGCTAACTGCTGTGTCTTACAGGCCGACCGGTGGGAGGAGGAAGCATCATGGTGTGGAGACGACGTAATGAGTGTTACGCTAACTGCTGTGTCTTACAGGCCGACCGGTGGGGAGGAGGAAGCATCATGGTATGGAGACGACGTAATGAGTGTTACGCTAACTGCTGTGTCTTACAGGCCGACCGGTGGGGAGGAGGAAGCATCATGGTGTGGAGACGACGTAATGAGTGTTACGCTAACTGCTGTCTTACAGGCCGACTGGTGGGGAGGAGGAAGCATCATGGTATGGAGACGACGTAATGAGTGTAGCTCTAACTGCTGTGTCTTACAGGCCGACCGGTGGGAGGAGGAAGCATCATGGTGTGGAGACGACGTAATGAGTGTTACGCTAACTGCTGTCTTACAGGCCGACTGGTGGGGAAGAGGAAGCATCATGGTATGGAGACGACGTAATGAGTGTAGCTCTAACTGCTGTGTCTTACAGGCCGACTGGTGGGGAGGAGGAAGCATCATGGTATGGAGACGACGTAATGAGTGTTACGCTAACTGCTGTGTCTTACAGGCCGACCGGTGGGGGAGGAGGAAGCATCATGGTATGGAGACGACGTAATGAGTGTAGCTCTAACTGCTGTGTCTTACAGGCCGACCGGTGGGGAGGAGGAAGCATCATGGTGAGGGGAGGCTTCAGTTATCCTCACAGGACCCCTCTAAACGTGGTCCGTCAGCGTGTGACTGTCGTGTACAGGGATGATGTTCTTCGTTATCACGTCAGACCTCTCTTCCTGGGTTAACCTCAACCCCTGGTCTTTCAGCAGGACAACGCTTGTCCCATAGAGCATGGGTCTCTATGGAAAGTCCTCGGAGTGAATAACATTCTTGTTATGTCCTGGCCGTCTTTGTCACCGGACATGGCACCAATTGAGCATGTCTGGGACGAGATTGGGAGACATCTCCAGGTTTGCAAGGCAGCCACATACTCTTCAGGAACTGGAAGCTTTTTTGGTCCGGGAATGAAACGGGATTCCTCAAGCCCTCTTCCAAAGACTTGTCAACTCAATGAGACGGTGGTGTGCGACAGTACCGCATCTAACGGTGACCACACACGCTATTGATGGACACGACCAACACTTGTCATTTTTCTGTTTGGGGGGAACCCTGTATTCGTGGGAATTTTCAATAAACACGGCTGGTTGTCATCAAACAATCAACACCCATTTGTTATCAAATGTTTTCTCCGTTATCATGTTCTTATTATTATCTACATATCTTTTATGCTCTTAATGTTATGCACATTTTATATACAACTTGCGTTTCTTTTGCGGTTGAGTGATCTGGACAACCCAGATATACTTATGGCATGTGTAACTTTCCCAACACGACATGTAATGTGACGTGACGATACACAGATACATGCCAGAGTTTGAGATTTTAGGACCGCATCTTATATGATTAATATACTGAAGGCCGATCCATACCTGCCCAACATGTCGGTGCAGGGATAATAATACACAGTTTGTATTTAGTCTCCCCAAGAGTGAGCGAGTGAACTTGGCTTAACACCACTTTGAACGGTATTCTGGCGTGTGAGCTTTTTGTAATGGAGAAACCATGACACCTCAGGAATGGTATGATTGTATAACCGGGTAGGCACAGAAAAGCCGAGAACGCGTAGCCTACCCGGTTATACAATCATACCATTCCTGAGGTGGAATGGTTTGTCCAACTTATAAACCGCTATCCATTAATCTATGTCATTTTTGGAGCTTATATTTACGCGGTATACGGGTCGCAAATAAGCGCGGTATAACGAGACACGCTTTATAACAGTTGTTATCGCGGGCCGCTGCGCGGACTGCACGTGCAGAAGAGGGCTGTACGTGCAGAAAGAACCGCGTGCGTCGTACCACATGGCATTGACTGTTCACAAGAGAGGATGTCTGACGATGACGATATTTTTCTTACTCAAAGTAAGTTAATTGATGAAAATTCTGCAGAAAAGGATGACATTTTTATTTGAAAGGTTTTTCAATTGCATTTTAGAGAAACTACAAATGCCATCCAGCAATCGGGATTTCACGACATGTTTTACAATTGCTCCCCAGGTTTTACAATTGCTCCCCAGGTTTTACAATTGCAATTGAGGAGCAAAACCTGAGGAGCAATTGTAAAACCTGCTGAGTGGTCTTACTACAAAAGAAAGGTCGTCTGGGAGATGGTTACAACACCATGATAGGTTTATAAGTGGGATGAACGCGCAGTGTTGCTGCATTTTGACGTTTATCCATTTGGTTTACCCCCAGAGCATGGGTATGGTGCTGACAAACCTAGGAACATAATATGAGCAAATCTGCGATTCGAATCCACAATCAAAGGTTTCTGGGAGGCATATGTAGTCCCCGAGAAGGCTATCGGAAATCAATACAACCGCAGCGACACTTCCTTCCATTAATCGTGTCATGGGGGTTCAATGCACTTTTTAAAACGGCAAATACACATTCCATAAAACACATTTCACATGTTATAATTTAAATTGAATGAAGGGTACAATGCAATCAAGTTGATGTAGCTTTCGTCATCTTGGTTCCAGTGGTATCTAGGCTGATCGTGAACACCACACACTCAGCATCCTCGATTAACCAGGGTATTGTCGTCATTCTATTGTGGTAAATGCCCTGGACCCCGTTCCACAAAGTGATCTTAGTCGATCGTAACTCCCATTCTTTAACACTGACTTACTACAATCGTAGCGCTAAGATCGCTTTGTGGAACCTGGCCCTGGACCCACTATACGTTATACGCCAGGATTTGCGAGACGAGGTCGCTCTACAGACATCTTTTACGTCACTTCTATCACTCTATCGCGAAAGATGTGTAAACGCAAAAATGTTTGAACGTCAGTCGTGGTTCTCTCGACTGAGAGAGAAGCCGATTGTCTACCACTAGACCACGGAGGCGGTCGGACCCATGGTGTGTTTGCCCGACGAAGCTGCTGCAGAGACAGCTGTTACGCCATTTCTAGCCATCTCTAAACGTATAGACGTCTGTTTTGCGGTCATGTGACGGTTCTCTCGACTGACAGAGAAGCCTATTATTGTGTGAATCACACATTTAAAACCATACTTGGTTTATTACCTTATACGTGGAGACTTTGTTAAGTTGAAGTTCATGTGTGCTACCAATGGACGATGACGATTATGATCATTGAAGGAGTACGATTTGAAAATGTTTCACTATAACTACAACATTCACCGCCTTCGTGGTATAGTGGTAGAGCGTCCACCCGGAGAGCGGAAGATCCGGGGTTCGATCCCCGACCGCGTCATACCAAAAGACGTTAAAAGATGGTACTTGTTGTTGCCCTGTCTGGCGCTCGGCATTAAAGGGCTATATAACAAGGACTGGTCGGCTCGGAGTCAGTATACTGTGTCTGAGTTGGGTATTCATGTTAAACTGTGGTATGGTATCTAAGTGTGCTAGCACTATAAATCGGCATCAGTCGGGACTAGACAAGCAGCCACACCCATACGTGCATGCACGTCGCTATATAAGTGCAATAATCTTGGACGCGACGTTAAACCCCATTTCACCTCACCTCTCTACAACATTCACGTACGTGTAAACACAAATAATCACAAATGATATACTAGTATACCGTAGTTTGGTAAACAGGCACATATTTTAATAGCTGTTATATCAAATTAAAACATTTGAGGAAAACGCTGGAAATACACGCTTTGACACAAACTCAGCCGTTACTGTTTTTATGTTCACTTTCCTAGGGGCCCGACCACGTCAGTTGGGTGGTTCAGGCAGCAGACCATCAGATCCCCCGCGCAGGATCCCTGGGGGCCAAGGAAGCGGCACAGAGTCCTTGTTGCATCAGCGCAGAAGCCGCCAAATCCGCTGCAGGTAGTCTCACGGATCACTGTGAATGAGACACAAGTTCAACATGGTGATTGACTGGTGGCTTGGTTGATATGTGACGCCGTTTTGTAACAGTATTTCAATTATATGACGTCGTGTTAGCTTGAAGTGATTGGCTCGAGTACAACATCAGTGAAACTCCGCAGGGACATCCGGTTACGAGTGAGTGAGTATTGTTTTGCGCCGCTTTTAGCAATATTCCAGCAATATCACGGCGGGGGACACCAGAAATGGGCTTCACACATTGTACCTATGTCGGGATTTGAACCCGGGTTTTCGGCGAGACGAGCGAACCACTAGGCTACCCGAACGGCTATGGTCCCCAGGATCACGTGCTGGGGACCGTGGGTGACAGCATGTCAGCGAGCCTCGACAGGCTAGGCCAGCGTAAAATTGCAGGGATATTGCGTTAAATAACAGACAAACAACAATTTATTAAGAGAGTTCAGTGAGTTTTCAGAAACATGTAACAATCCTTGAAGTGCTTACCCGATCCGTAACAAGCCGCACACAGCACCAACACGACCAAAAGTCCTAATACAGCCTTCATTGTCAGGAACCGTTAACACATTAATGTGAACGTATTCCCAGAATATAGTCTCAGTCCTGCAAGGGGTCGTGTCAAGAATAAAATAACACATTTGCGCATTACAAACTGTTCATGAATGTGTATACGAGTATTGGCTAAATAGGCTTAACTCAAAAATATGGTGTACTCTCCACTGTCATTTCCCTCTATCACTGACCGATGATATGATAATTAATATTCTCATGTAAAGGAAATAGGGAATATGAAGGTAAGTGTTTATGAAGGGTCCCTCGTGTAAAGGAGTGTCCCAGATAAGCATGATAAGAAGCCCTGTACTTTGAAAGGTGTTATTTGGTCCATTTTTATCTGGAACGGTAAGCTGGAATGTAGCTTCGTCCACACAATTTACTATAAAACAAGTTCCTTCACAGCCGTGACACCTTCGTTACACTCTCGGTAACATCGCTGCCACCAGTGTGGGCGCGGCCATTACAAGAATCTTGAAATTTGGCCTCTAACCACAAATGTAGTAACGTTCATACTTTTGTTTGACTTTGGGAATGCCATCATATTTCATTTTGAAAAGGTTTACGACTGACCATGTTTTCCAGATGAATTTGCTTTGTTGTTTGTATAATCAGATTGGTTCGAGATTGCAGACTGACGGACTATCAACCAGCTTCTCCCTTACATTCTTACTATACCAATAACATGATAGTTTTAATGAAAAAGAAGTTCAAATTGACAAACAAAGTAATTTAGCAGGGGTAAGTGTATTCGGCGTCACGACAGTCGTCATTTGTTTGTAAACATAACGGTCATTGGGTTGCGAGTTCAACTCCAAGCATGGTTGGGGCCACCTATCGCAGTGGGGAGTTTTGACTGGTCGCAGCGATAGTAAAGAGAGGTCCGCGAACGGGCTATCGCTGCGATGAGCTTGACTACAAAGAGAGGCACAGAACATGCATATTATATCCGATAAGCACGTATAGTTTTAGCAATAGTCCAACGATATCAGGGCGATATCTACCCACCGCCCTATTTTAGTTGTGCTGGTTTGATGTTTAACGCCGCACTCGACAATATTCCAGTTATGTGACGGCGGCCTGTAAATAATCTAGCCTAGACAAGACAAACCAGTGATTGATATTATGAGCATCAATCCACGCCGCCGGGTTATGATGACCCGTTGAACCAGGTCACTGAGCCTGACCCCCTGACCAATTATGTTCCCGCTGCGACCTGCATAGGTTGCTGGGAGACGATGTCTGACCTGGAATGCTCACGGAGGGTCACTGCTTCAAAACATATGGTAAAAAGTGAACAAATTCACTTTTTGTCTGATATTTAACATCATAGCCTTACCGAAGAACTGTCATTTAAGGTAGGGGCGGTCAGGTAGCCTAGTGGTTAAAGCGTTCGCTCGTCTCGCCGAAGACCCGGGTTCGAATCCCGACATGGGTACAATGTGTGAAGCCCAATCCTGGTGATATTGCTGGAATATTGCTAAAAGCGGCGTAAAACCAAACTCACTCACTCACTCATTTAAGCTTATATGTGTCGCACAAAAAGCAAAAACGCCATCATTTGGTTTATAATCATGTAAGTTACCTGCTATGCAGGATTGCGTCCCTTAGCCAATCCAGTATCCGCACCGATTATGTACGGTCCTCGGTCTACAAATACTGTCGTGGATTTCACTTAAGTGATACATTTGTATACCCCTACGACCTGCGTGATGCTGGTCTTCCCTTCCACATTTAACTGAGACGCTGTGATACATTGTGGAAAATTGTTCAAACCGACGTTCAACCAAATGAACTCCGTATATCAGAGCCGGAATATTATGACTGCGTTGTGACGTCAGAGGTAAAGATCCATGCTCATGTTGCCATGAAATATATGCAACCTGGTTATTAAATTATTTACTTCGTGGCTTTTAGGAAACGATGAATGTTTGTCGATTTCATATCATATATTTTTCTAGAATTATGGGCTACATTGAGAAAGAAATACATGATTGTTTAATTCACATCGAGTTTCCGCGTAGGGAAAATTGTGGTCAATTGAGTATTGTTTGGTCACAATGTGGGACGTACTTCAAGGTCCCACGACGGCGTGGATGCTGCTCATGCTATCAGCTTTCCTGGTCCTGGCTTCATCAGCTACATGACGCCGTGGTACTGCTGGAATGTTTTTTGTTTGAGGCGTAAAACAGCATTCATTCATATAGTATGTTACATAATACCTGTAAATGAAAGTTCAAGATTTACTTAAAGAGGTATTCATTCTAAATGGGATCAAAACACAGGACGCCTTCTCCACATACCAAAGAGGCTCTACATACCAACACACCTCACACCAGTTTTTAGAGGTGGTGAGTGAGTTTTCAGCCATATCGTGAATCACAGGTTGTACATTAATATTCTATAAAGAATTTAAGTTACATTTGAACGTTGAATTTTGTTTAACAAATTTATAGCCATATTATTGTTCTGTTACGATCTGGTGAGCTACCCTGTTGGTAGACGCTGTGGTGTGGAATATTCTCAAAGACTTTGTAATTATTGGGACATGCAAGCTGTTGAAGATGAGTTCCATTTCTTGTTTGTATGTCCATATTATAAGCATTTAAGAAACAGATATTTCCCAAAACATTATTCTCATAACCTATGTTTAAGAAAATTGTACTCTCTAGTGTCATGCAATACGCAACTGATGTTGATTAATTGTGCAAAGTTTATTTTCAACTCTCTATTTGTTAGACAAAACGAATATCCCTGTAGCTACTGGGGGCACGGATGGGCCAGTCGTGTAAAGCGCCGCGATTCCCTGTGCAGAGTTGCGTCCCTTGGGCACGCCAGAAACCTATGATTGTGGGTTCGAATCCCGGTTCACCCCGATTATGTTTCTAGGTTTGTCAGCACCATACCCGTGCTCGTGGGTTTCACCGAAGTGGTAAACGTCTGAGACCTGCATCACTTCGGGCTTTCCTCCCACATTAAGCTTACACGCCGTGATATAACTGGAATACTGTTAAAAGCGGCGTTAAACCCAACTCACTCACTCACTCACGATTGCAACTGTAGTGGAACAAGACTGCTTTAAATACTGTGGTCTTATGTAGCTTGTGTATTGATGGAGCGGAAACTCTACAGTCTCTGCCCAGTCTCGGTCAAATGTATTTACAAAAAAACATGCTGTTTTCATGGGAACATGCAAAGGAAGAAAATATGAAAAAGGAAATGTTCCAAAACTCAATATTTACACTATGTCGCCCATGGACAAAGGAAAATATTCTCGCCCATGGGCGAAATATTTTAATAACGCTATAAAAAAGTTGAATTAAGTTAAAATGAGTTAATTTATGTGTCATGATACTTGAATAAAATAATTTGTGTATTTGCGAAACAAAAACATGAGTTTTAAGTAAAGGAATATATTCTCGTCCATGGGCCTGCCCATAGTGTAAATATTGAGGTTTTTAACATTTTTTTTTCATTTTTTCTTCCTTAGTATGTTCTGTAGAGTTTCTGGACTATTGGGGTTCCAGAATTAATATGGGACGTGTTTTATTCTCAAATTGTTTTATCGTTTATCTACCAAAATAATAGATTTCTTCCAAATTACTGAATATCTCACTGTAGTGAGTGAGGTAATGCTTTACGTCACATCGGCAATATTTCAGCCATATCGTGACGAGTATCTCACTGTACATGTTTATGGGTAAATAGCATCCTTATGAATTACCACGGCTTCCTTATACCTGGTGTGAATCTTCACTCTTGAACGTGAGGCGTCCTCTGCGACAAACGTTTCCGTTCGTGACGTTACTTTAAAATTTCCTCGTTCCAAATCAGTTGCAGAAATAAGTCCTTTTGGCTAAGCAAGTGTATCGAATAATCGTAATGATTCCTTACAAGTATGTTACATTTCGTTAGTAATTGCGTTGCAGTAATATTCACTCTATCATATACGTTGTGTATTTTTTAAGCAGATTAATTATATGTAAAATTATCAATCTATCATATACTTTCCGCATTAACCCAAATCTTACAGTTAGCTCACTGTATCATTTACAACTGTAATAATATAACATAAACAATATCAAACACGTAAAGATATTTATCATATAATGGGTAGGGTTCTCGGCAGGATAAAGCCGTTGCGGTCATATGCGGATAGAGATGCAAATATCAAAGGTCAAGTAGGGACTACTTTCAGCGTTTACAAACAAACATGGCGTCGCCCTTGTCATTCGGCGATCGAGTCAGAATAACCATCGGGAATCTGGATAAACTAAAGGGATAATTGCTATCATTATCAAAAGAACACTCAGTCTATTATACTGAAAATCAGTCTCGGAGACTCTCGATTTTCAAGCACAGAATTAAAGAATGGCATTATATGATAAAGAGGTTATCAGGCTTGTGTGTTTGGGGATGGTAAATATCCTGTATTAGGAATAAACACTATGTATTTAGCTCCCCCAGGCTCGCCAAATACAATGTTTATTTCTTATGCAGGATATTTACCATCCCCAAACACACTCGCGTGATAACCGCTATTTATACGTAATATTTGTAATTTTACTTTAAATCTGTTTTCAACATTATCTTTTCAAAACTGTCGGATGGGATGGGACACTGTCCTGACAATCACGTCGCCAGCCCCCAACCGTTAAAGGTCAACAGAGTCAGGAGTGCGACGGCACCCAAAAGCGGGGACAACAAAGCGATCCTAGCAGCAAGACTGCCGTAAACCTTTGTAAAACTACTGAGTCACGAACGTCCTGGCGCTAAGATCGCTTTGTGTAGCAGGGGCTACGAGCTGTCATTCAGGACAGGACCAAACCATACGTTATCATACCTCCATGTCAGAATGATGAGATATGATTGGCCCAAGTGATCTGGATAAAATACTGTGCATCCCGCCTTGGAGGGAAATAAATGTCTCAGCGGGAGAATAAATCCCTTATACCCCGCCACCAGCAAGTAAGGCTGCACGTGGATTTCTGAGGCAGAATAAGTCCGGCTTGGATGCAAAGTGCTGTACGCTTTTTCCAAGTCAATGAAAATCACATGACATGGGACAAGTTAACTTCAGCTCAATCGAACAGCTGTTTTCTATCAATTTTGAATTAATATTGTTTTTATTCTTTTATAATGTATTATTAAAACATGTCGGTAAGATAAATTCGTTGTAGTCTGATCACTCTGGGAACATTTGGTTTTCTGCGTCCCTCGTTGGGTTTTATACCACTCCCATCAGGCTCATGGTATTAAACCTGACGCAAGACGCATAAAACCCATGTACCCCCGTGATCCTGCCACAACGTATACTGTCTAAGTAGTAACAAGACCGCCAGTTACTCATTGGTCTGATGCGGAGCACTATCTGGTTTTATTATTCAGGGTTGATGAATGGGGAACATGACGGCAGAGTGTATATTTTATTTACTGTACAGGCATCATCATCATTATAAGATCGATTTGTGGAGCAGAACCTACGAGGTGAGATTCAGCTTAAGTTCTGTATCGTTGAGGACAGAACCAAAAATACTCATTGGTCTGATGCCGATTAACATCTTTTTTATTATTCAGTGTTGATGAATGGAGAACATGACAGCAGAGTTTATATTTTATTTATAAGTACAGGCATCATCATCATCATCATTATTAACATGGCCTTCAGGTTAATGATAACTCGGCGGATGATGCGGACGATGCTTCTGAGATAAGCGGCTAGCCAATCATTATTCCAGGGCAGCAAGCAGCAAACGGTTCAGACCCACAAATCTTGAAGTCCAGACCGGCACATCTGACCAGTCGACTGTCTACACAGTTCCCATTGAGTGCCTTACAGGCATCCGTGTTCACGTCTGAAACATTATGGGATGTGAACATAAACTTCAGGTTCTCTTGGGTAATATTACTGAATGTGTCAGTACTTGTAGATTCTTAACAATGTGATATGATTTAAAATTACTTAATCAAAATAATAAAATCGTATTTGAAAACACGACCAAGAGACTAGTTCCAGTAATAAATTGCTCTGCAATGTTATTTTTTACCTTTTTAGGATATACTCAAATGCCAAATCGTGCTGGACATTTTCAGTTTCTGGACTTCTCACGGGAATGGCGTCGTTGCGAATACGATTTTATGGGATAAATTCATAATGATAGTTTTGCATACACCTGTGAATGAAGTGAATAACTAATTACTTACATGCGGTGGAACTTGCAACCAGGCAGAAATACAGTGTCATACATATATACAGAAGAACAGCTCCATGTGTGCTTGAAAACGCCATGCTTGTGTGAGTGTTATCTGAACTCTTATCTGCTATCTGACGATACACTCCCAAATAAATCAGGTGGGACAATGTTCGTCTTATTCCATGTTATATTTGGATCAAAATGTGCGACAATACAATGTATTTCAGTGTGACATATTGTGAGAAATATACATGGTGTAGAAGCGATAAATGTCCGATGAAGATGAAACTACTTTTGAGACCCGTGGAGATCCGGGTTTCAATTGATTTTTTCAGCAACCCATGAACCTTCGTCACACTTGGGATATGGCATCTCATATACTCAGTATCATTAGAAAGGGTCATCTATGTGTGACGGGTGTCAAATGTCAACAAAATATGCCAACAAGCGTCAGTTGAAGAACATGTTGTTTATGCCCATGTCACAGTGATTGGATGTTTTTTTATGAAACTTATAATAATGGACAACGACTATTACAAACAAATAAAGATAAAGGTGGTGGGAAAAGCTAACTTAAAAAAATGCCTAAAAGCAACCAGTGGTTTAGATCATGCGCAAACTATATTTGACTAATAAGACATTGTTGGTATAAAATGGTTTATTTCAGATGCAACGGAACTGCAAGCTTGTAACATCAAAAATGCAACGCGATATCTCTTATTATCTGCGTGACCCCCTAATAATGACGCTGGGTATATATACCTCTACACACCTGGAACTAAGTATGAAATTGATCTCATCCTATGCATAGAACTACATAGATCACATACCATTCATACTTAATGAACAGGGGCGGTCGGGTAGCCTAGTGGTTACAGCGTTCGCTCGTCACGCCGAAGACCCGGGTTCGATACCCGACATGGGAACAATGTGTGAGCCCATTTCTGGTGTCCCCCGCCGTGATGTTGCTGGAATATTGCTAAAAGCGGCGTAAAACCATACTCACTCACTCACTCACTCACTTACTTAATGAACAGATCAGCCACAAGGCGAAATTCCAATATATACAAAATATACAATTTTGTATATATGATATATCCAAAAATATACAATTTTGTATATTTGGTATTTCCAAAAATAAACAATTTTGTATATATGGATTGATTTTACCTCTGCTTCATTCAGTTTCTTTACATTGCAGACATTAATGCTCACAATATGTGGTTGCTATTGAATATATTACTAAGAATACCGGAAAGTATTATTGTATGTGACAAGTGTATACTATTGGCATTATGACAACTCTATTTGGAGTGTTATGAAATAATTTGTATTTATTTATGTTGACAGCATTTTACGTAATAAAGAAATAGAACACTTAAGCAGACAGTTATATCAATAATATATATAATAAGTGCGCCATCTGTTTACAAATAAGAAGATCTATACATACAAGTCGTTCAGAGTAGTTTCAAACAATGACGGTAAAATTAATATATCATGAATGTCGGCAAATATGAATATATACAATTTAATATATATGTTTCTGTTATGTCATGGTATGGTGATTCTAAATCTAAAATGTTGCTTGATATTGTTTTGACAAACAGTTGTATGCACTGTCCAATGTGATACTCCTACGTAAGTATATAAAAAAGGATGTTCGTTTAGTCAATTGACATATTAGTGGGATTAGTGTGACAGGATAACTAAGTTTGTCATCTGGTATAATGCACTTCCTCGATTAGCATAATTAGAACAGAGTTTGTAAATAGTTATATGCGGACTCCAGTTAGCTAAGGCAGCCAGCATCAGTGGAGAGTGTGAGCAGCTCGAGAAGAGGCGAGCAACTCAATGTGATCTATGAATTTGTGGAATTTTAATAAATAAACGAACGCCTGTCACAAAAATGTAGTTGAACATAGAACACACAGAATCACAGATTTGTCTATCGTACATTTGAGGGTGAACGTGAACGAAGCCGTGCAGGGTGCCTTACATCGATTTTACTTCAGAACACACAGTGAGCTCCGGTAAATTTATTAATAATGAGATTTTCATTCATTCGTGCATTAGATATGGCAATCATGAGCGCTGACTCTGTATGTGTTCGCAATAGAACATTTGGAAGAAATAAAAAAAATGACTTACAAGTCTAGTACACAACAAAGCCATTAAGTGAATATCAAATAAATTGATTCACAATGTGACAACCTCTCATCCAAAATTTGTTAAATGCAACAGGTTTAAAGCATTCAGAATTGTACAATCATTATTATAAAATGCAGCATGTTTATATATATGTGTCGCTACCTCTCTCATGTTAAATACATAAATGTATAAAAATGTTTTAATATAATTTAATATTACTATTGGTTTTACATTATAAGTAACATTATGGACCCTAGCATGTCGAGCCAAGAAACAATTGTATATATTATTCACCTTGGAATGTCTGTTTACTGTGTTTTCGGCGGGGTCCAGGCAATTCCCTAAGTGGACAATTCCAACTATTGCGTAAAATATTAATGCCGATTTGGAGAAAATTACCAAATGGATTAAAGCAAGTAGGTATAATCCAAAGAAAACAGAAACTATTCAATTTCACGTTAAAGTCAATCTAAATGCAATACCTAACCGTAAAATGAAAAGATTTTTTATCAATGACTTTTGGTTAAATTTGGTTAATAGCATTCTGATATTGTCGATTAGTTAAAAAGATTGTGGGTATATGTGTAGGTAATTTCCCTCACGCTGATGGCAGAAAGTCACTCAACCAGTTCATGTATTCTACGTCAAAGAAGATCAGAACCCGTGTATAATTACAACATCCTCAGAATACCAATAACAACGAAATGTAGAAATTAACAAACATGACCAACATTATTATTTCATGTTAATCTTTGTGCCATGCATGTAGCTAGATAAACATATGTATACTTTTTCAGTCTGTGTGAAGTCGTGCATAAATGCAGTTGATTTTTAAGGGTGTGTTTTTGTACTGTCATCCCTAAAAAAAAGTTTCACTTTTATCCTCAAAAGCGCAATAATATTCATGTTATAACCTTTTAAGTCAACTTTTTATTTAATACGAATTACGTAACATTCATGTTACTTTGATTTTATAATGTTACAGACCCATGGACTGACCAGGTTCATTAAGTGTCATAAAATTGCCGGGACATAATGTGGTGGCAATACATTCTCTAACACCTGTCACAAAGGGACAAGCAATTTGGGTTTGTGCTCTGTGTTACGCAATATCTGTATTCACGAAATAACATTCAACGAACTATGTACTTCGTCCTGTGATGTTGGTGTCTTTTGGCATTAAAGAACATGTAAGTAGATACAACGCGGGCGGATTGATGCATTCGTACTTGGTATGATATAAATGAATGACACTTCGTTCTTAATAGTGTGCGAAATACGCATAATGTCGGAAAGCGCAAGTTAAAACCCGATTACTGACTTCGTTCTTAAATAAATCACAACCATTTACAGTTGTATCACTGTGTAGATTCTTTTATATTTTAACGATGTAAATCACGCCACTTTTAATGTAAAATACGTCACTAAACCAGTTCATGTACTCAACCATTTCCACTATTAATTTTACAAAAGATCAAAGATTAAAAACAGTTATCAAGATAAATTTTACAAATCTTTAGAAATACATAATCGTTAAAGGGAAACTGCCATCTTGATCTACTATTCTGTATTGTATGACATTATATATCTGCTCATGTACCGCCGCTGGTGGTTTAATTTATGACAAATAAACATAATTTGGTTTGAACCCAACCATGCGTGTGCTGAATTGTACAGCGCCAAGCGTTCTGAGCGCCAACGAAGTTTTTCAAAGTAGAAATTAAGCAAAACGAATATTTATCAAATTTCTTATTGCTAGAACATATGAATGAACAACAAGTACTATAATCGGAAATATATTACAAGTTATATAGGCACCCGGATGCTCAAAATCACAATACAATGCTAATATCCAATATTTGTGTTCCAGCGAGTGTATACCAAACAGACAAGGACCAAACCAGTTCTACAGACACAGACTCTCTCAAAGGCAGCAAGGTGCAGTATACAGTTAAATGAAAATTGGTCTGTATCGCATCCGCTCGTGACTTGATAAAAATGTCGTATAACTATAACATACATAAAGGTGTCTCGTCTGTTATTTCAAAAGACATGATTTTCTTCTACCAAAACATAATGTGTCAGTTGTGATGCATCTCATTCGTGGCAGGCTATATAATGCAGGGACGGCCCTTTATGTATCATTCAATCTTTAGAAAATACGAAACGAGCCATAATACCATGTTTTATGAACCTAGCAAAACTAAACAGTTGATACTAAACTGTTCACTCGTTTCAAAGAAATCGTAAATTTCAGACAAAGTTTTTTGGTTTTTTTCCATGAAGTCTATCAAAAACACATAACCTAAATACAACAATAGTGTATGCACAAAATGTTAATCGTCTGTTACATGTTTGCGAGATAACACGCGAAAAAGTGAAAAACACGTGCACCACGGACAATTGCAAATGCACGTGTGGGTAAGGGTATAAAACGATTGCAACGGCAACGGCAAAAGTCAGACATCCACAGTGATAAAAAACCACACAAAAGAAACGCCACGACTTACAGTCGAACAACGTGAACGCGCCTTGGATAAGGTACAGATGGGAGCCACCCACGCCCATATTGCACGAACCTTCGGTTGCTCCCGTGTTGCCGTAACCAACTTGATGCAACGTTAAAAACAGACAGGGCGGACCGCTGACAGGCCAAGAACAGGCAGACCCAGGGTGACCACGCCCCATGATGACCGGTACTTGCGTACCTTGCACCTCCGAAATCGCTTCCTGACAGTGACGTCATCGGCGACAAATGCCTTAGGTCAAAGGGTTAGTCGACAGACAGTGGCCAGGAGACTCAGGGCTCATGGAATCAGGGCTTTTAGACCATACAGAGGACAGCTATTGACAGCGCAACATCGTCGTCTGCGATTAAGATAGGCCTGGACTGTACGACGTTGGCAACGACGTGACTGGCAGGGGGTTGTCGTCACTGACGAAAGTCGATTCTGTATGTTCAGGGCTGATGGAAGACAACGTGTTTACCGCCGAAGGGGTGAACGAACGGCGGCGTGTTGCGTGCAGGAGGTCGTACCATATGGTGAAGGGAGTGTCATGGTGTGGGGAGGGATCTGTGGGCAGGAGAGGACACCGCTGGTCACCGTTGACGGAAACTTGACAGCTCAGCGTTACATGGATAACATTCTTCGTCCAGTTGTCCTACCATTTCTCCAACCGCAGCCACATGGTGTCATTTATCAGCATGACAACGCTAGAGCCCATACAGCCAGAATTGTCACTAACTTCCTCGCAGCCAACAACGTCAACGCCCTGCCGTGGCCTGCACGCTCACCCGACGTGTCCCCCATAGAACACCTCTGGGACTTGATGGATCGTCGTGTTCGACAACGACCACACTCTCCAGCCAACCGGCAAGAACTGATCTTGGCCCTCCAAGAAGAATGGCGTCAAATCCCACGTGACCTCATCAGACGACTGACTTTTTCTTTTCGTCGAAGAGTTTTGCGTGTAGTGAGGCATTTGGTGGTCACACACGCGACTAATGACTTGTTATTGAACGTGAACGATTGTTTATGTACTCTGCCTATTGTACATGATTCTGAAAGCTCGAGGTTTGTACCACACCAAACTTTAGGGGGCTCTGACGTCATTCTTGGTCGTGGTATGATTGTCACTTTCAGTGTTGATTATGTTGATATATTGATCTTCTCCATACACTTTACTTCATGCATATATATTGGGTTGTTGTTTTTTAGCAAGAGTGATTTCAAACTCTGGTAAAGTTTCTTTTGGACGTCAGTTTATTTTAATCATACACAATATATCTCATTTAATATCTTGATCTTCTCCATACACTTTACTTCATGCCATATATATTGGGTTGTTGTTTTTTAGCAAGAGTGATTTCAAACTCTGGTAAAGTTTCTTTTGGACGTCAGTTTATTTTAATCATACACAATATATCTCATTTAATATCTTGAAGCTGCCAATGAAAGCATGAACTCAATTACTGTGCAAATATAAGAGTTCATTTTGTATAAGTATAAGTATGAAGTTATCATTTTTTAATTTCAAAAACTACGATGTGCCCACTGATACCGTCATTATGTTGACGGTCTGATTGTTAACAACCATGAGTTGCAATATGTTATATGAAATCATTGCTTTGTATAACATCGGGTCATGGATGCTGTTCACTTTCATTGGTACTGGATTCTTCTTTGCGCAATAACAAGAGTATCTCATTGATTGATTATTTGGCAAAAGTAAATAAGTCAAAGATGGCGGATTCAGTAAAATTTCAAAGTTAAATCAGTACTTTTAAAAAATTGGGAATAGCTTCAGCGCACCCGGCTACCCGCCAGGTCTGGGAGCAATACTGCTACAAACGTGCAATGTCTGACTCTTTTCCCATGTTGAAGCATATTGAGAAAAGCTAACCTTGTACTTACTTACCTTTTGTAAAACATAAGACATTAATTGCAACATATATCCCCGTGTTATGAGTTTTCGGATGCTGAATAAACATTCATGGTGTTTTCATATGAACAACTGTAAAACATCTCATTGACTTATAAAAGACAACGTTATTATAAAAACAAGCCATCATCGGAATACTTCTGTGTGATGCCACACCCCTCGTTATAGTGCAAGTATTCGTGATAGAAAATGTATGATGTCCAAAAACTTAAGATCAGACAATAATAGTATTGTGTTATGAATAATAATAAATGCATGTTTAATTTGATGCTGAAAGCTCTGATCGCAAAACAGGACAATCCGCGACGGTTGTCCGGAAACACGATATTTTTTCGGAGTATTTTCTTTTAAATCTTTGATTATATTTTTACGCGGAAGATGATTTTTCCAAGGACTATTGTTTTAAAAAACGCGATTTTCAACGTTTCCGCGGATATTTCACATCATATCAATTCAACCGTACAAACCAAATTCAACACTTTTAAGTAATCATGATTAGCTTTCATCCTCTGTGCAATCTGTTGGCTAATCTGCTATGCGCACGAGAGCATGTTACAAATCACATCGCGGCATCCCGTACAAACCAATCCAAGCTCAGCACAAATCGATTTCAACACTTTCAGGTGATAATAATAAAGAAGTCACCGCCAATGCAGTCACCTCCGACTGCTAATCCGCACTGTATATTTGACAATAAAGTCTACCAAAATACCAGACCGACAGACAGACAGACAGTTTATTATAGTCTCACCTCATTACAATGATTTATACATACTTTTAAAATACAAAAATTTATATCTCAAATACATATCATATGTAAAAGTATACAAGTATAAAATGTAACGAGCCACCCTATACAGGGTTACGAGAGACTTTTCATAAAAAGAGCATATTAAAATATAAATAAAAGGTACATAAACTACAACGCATATTAAAGTAAAACCATGAATTAAGAATAAAGGCAATCATATCTTTTAGAAAAAATGTTAAAGCAGGTTTTGGCACTTAAATATATCACATCTTGGGAAGACAGGATAAAACTGGCTTTTCTCGGATCATCGAAATTCTTAAAATCGTCTTCAACATCGCAACCTTTTCTTAAAAGTTCTTCTCTTTCGGTTTCATAGTTAGGACATCTTAGTAATACGTGCTCTTCGTCTTCTATACCATCAGCACAAAATGGACTAATCCTTCATCTAGGGGCGTGTTTGTGTAGCGTCCAGTCTCTACTTTGAGGGGCGCCACCCCACTCAAGTGTAAGCAGATACACGATACCGGATTAACGAGGTTCAAGTCTAAGCAGGATGACGATACCGGATTAACGAGGTTTAAGTGTAAGCAGATACACGATACCGGATTAACGAGGTTCAAGTGCAAGCAGGATACATGATACCGGATTAACGAGGTTCAAGTGTAAGCAGGATACATGATGCCGGATAAACGAGGTTCAAGTGTAAGCAGGATGCCCGATACCGGATTGACGAGGTTCAAGTGTAAGCAGATACACGATGCCGGATTAACGAGGTTCAAGTGTAAGCAGGATACATGATACCTGATTAACAAGGTCCAAGTGTAAGTAGGATACACAATACCGGATTGACGAGGTTCAAGTGTAAGCAGGATTCATGATACCGGATTAACGAGGTTCAAGTGTAAGCAGGATATGTGATACCGGATTAACGAGGTTCAATTGTAAGCAGGTTACAGGGACGTTGTCGAACACAGGTAACGAAACGTGCACCATGTGACGAAAACAACAATAAATGTGTGAGTGAGTGAGCGATTTCACGCTGCTTTCAACATTTAGACGTTTCAGACGTTTAACGCTTTGAGGAGGGAGTGGGTATAACGCCGCTTTTAGCAATGTTCCAGGAATATCACGGCGGGGGACACCCAGTAATCGGCTTGACACAGTTTGCTCATGAGGGGAATCGAACGCTTTAACTTTTTGAGACTACCCCACCGAACCCGACAACTTTGGTGAAACCCACGATATATATATCGTTTATTCCTAGTACAGGATATTTAGCATCCCCAAAACTCGAGCGTGATAACGTCTATATAATTCCGTTACGAATATGAACGGTGTCGAAACACTTCAAGTTTCCTGGAATGTGCACAATGTTTTAGTCAGTCAGTGTCAATAGTCAATATAGTTCCAACTGAAACTTGTCTGTAAGACAGTGACGTAACTACCCTATAGACAAGAAGGCAATTGCCTCCGACAAGTCTTCTACTCATCAGTGATCGCCTTTCGCGGCAATCCATCGGTCTACTGGAGTAAGACCACAATCCGCAGAATTTGCCAAGCACAGTTATGAAAGCTGACATCCAGACCGTCCTCGATTAATTTCTTCACTTGGCCCATTTCAGATCGGTATCTCAGACTATTATCTGGATAATGATATCAATTATCCTATTAATTTGTCCAGGTCCCCTGTCGTCAATGCTGTTCGATCTCCGATAAACATATTTGTTTGTTAACACTGAAAGGAGTGCCTACCTGACCTTTTATCTTTCTTATCTATCTGTAATTGACCCCGGTTATCGTGTTTATACGTTAGCTTTATCATGCCGAGAAACGTACCCATTGTATGATAAATGCATATATTCTAACCTTGATAAAAAAATCCAGATCATTTTGGTTCCTTATGCGGAGAGTGATTAAATGTCTATAACGGTACAATGCGTTGGCCTTGGTGCCACCCCTCTTTATGTCAATCTTACACCAGAGGAATAAACAGGCGGAATTCTGTCAAAATTCCGGTCTTATGAGAGGTGTATTGGATCGGGGATGGGGGGTGGGTGGGGTGTACTACTCGTCGTTATATAACTGGACCATTAAAATCACTCACTCATTAATAGCGGCGTAGAACCATACTCACCTACTCACGACTTGATCCGCCAAACATTACTGCTGAGTCCTCTAGATTATCCCAGGGACATCCTTGGCTACGTCTCATATAAACCGCAATCCGTAACAATCAACATTTCTGATTGGTTTGTTAGATATTTATGACACGGAAACATCCGAACAGGCGGCATGTATTCGACCTACTTTAAACTTCTTCGTGTTTTCTTTTAAAAACTTCTTATCTAATTAGGTTGCATTCCTGTCAGCCATTGCATTGTACTGTGCTTCGAGATGGTATCAGTATCAACTATAGTGTTGATTTGTGTGTGTTTCGGGATCTGTGCAGATGGATTTTCGTCACGGCGACTAAGTGAGTTTCTTGTGACGTGTATTGTTGTTTGACTTGAACAAATGCTGAAGTGCACGTGTTACTGTACAGTGTATCATACAGGTTTGCAACAATCTATATATATATATATGTATATGTATATGTGACAATAGTTACATTATCGAGTCTTGACCTGACAACCAGTGATTGATATTGTGAGCATCGATCAACGCAACTGGGAAACGACAACTCACCGAGCATGACCACCCGATCCTGTTAGTCGCCTTTTACATATATATATGAATACGCCTTGCGAAATCCTACCATATGCTTAGTGCCTCTAACCTGTCCAGACACTACTGGGAGTAGTCAGCCACACCCGACAGTAATGTAAGGGCGGCTTGTAAGTATTCGAGGCCGTGTCAACCAGTGGTTGAAAGCGTTGAGCAACGATCTACGTCGTCGGGTTCGAACAGCTAAGTCACACATGGCGACCACCTGATCATGATCCCTATTTATCATTTCCTATTTCCTGTTCATAATTCAGTGGCCACTTGGGATTCCGAGTTCGAGTGAGTGAGTGAGTGAGTTGTGTTTAACGCCGCTTTTAACAATATTCCAGTTATATCGCGGCGTGTCAGCTTAATGTGGGAGGAAAGCCCCAAGTGATGCAGGTCTTAGACGTTTACCACTTCGGTGAAACCCACGAGCACGGGTATGGTGCTGACAAACCTAGAAACATAATCGGGGCGAACCGGGATTCGAACCCACAATCATAGGTTTCTGGCGTGGCCAAGAGACGAAACTCTGCACAGCGAATCTCGACGCCTTAGACGACTGGGCCACCCATGCCCCCTTTTGAGCTGGAAGAGGCCCAAACAACCAATGGTTGTGGAGGGAGGAGAATGATTTGGTGACCAGAGCTCGGTGGCGTGGTTGAATGTGTACATCGACGTATCCTGTGGCGTCGGGCGTTGATCATAATATCAACCTTAGTTCTAAGGTAGAGAATTTATGGATGTCAACTTCTTAACACAACGTTTGGAGTATATGCTTACTCCTTCATCAGGTGAATGTTCGCCTGGGCAAGTTGGGACTATATAGAAGCTGCCGTAGTATATTTGGAATATTGCAAAATACCACGTTAAACAATAAACAAACATAAGACAAGCAGTGTTTCTGGCATCTTCCCGAGGCAAGAGCGTTAACTGACTTTAAAAGTCCAGTTTCCACCCTTGCCGAACTAGGCTGAAAGTACTGGGCTCGATCGTAGCGCCACCAGTGGCTATTACCAGTTATGTGCCTTCTAAGCCTCGCCTATTGACCAATCAAATTCCACCTCTAGTATCACTTGCGTTTGCTTCACCCAAAATGGTGGCGCCCAGTCAGGACGATCTGATTGATAATCAAGATCTATATTGTGATAAAACGGGTCTTACATCGCCAAATGCATCAAAACATGTGAGCACCTTGATTATAAACATGAACAGATTTTGAAAATATCTGCTGACAACGAGTTGACGGTGCACATGCTTTGCAAATCCAACAATCAACCTAAATCTGCACGACAGTTTATGAACTGGATTTCTATTTCGGCGCGCGAATTTGATTGGACTATGCATAGACTCGTTAGTCCAGCCCAAATATAACTCCATAATACCAGCCTTGTTCGGCAAGGGTGGAAACTAGACTTTTATATATAGTCAGTTAACTCCCTTGCTTCGGCAAGATGTGTTTCTGGGGAAGCAACCCATGGCTGTAATCCCCACGGTTACTCCTGTTGTCCCCTCTAGTTCCAGACACGGAGGAATGTCGGTCTGTGGCTGGGACGTGCATTGACACCACCATTGTTCAGTGTACGGGACTCACTACTCCAACCTGTGGGCCCCTGCCGGAGGCAGTCTGTTGTGTTCACTTTGTTCTTGGAAACTGAGTCGTGTAAGTATTGGTCACCAAATTCAGAATAAGGACACATTTTTTAAATGTATGTAAACCGCAATGTGTTGTGTTCCACTGAAGAGGATAAAAAAGAATGGTAACAGCAATATCTTTCAGAGTCTTGTCTGATTCGTGAAAGCATGCGTGTGTGCGTGTGTGCGTGCTTGTCTCGGCCCCGACGTATTTGTTCGAGGACCTTTGATTTCTAGACAAAATAAACATCACTAGTTTCATTATTTATTTATTTATTTATTATTTTATTTTTTATTTATTTTTATTTTTTTTGAGGGGGCGGTGGGAATTTTGGAAAACGTATTCTGTTCCTTAAAATAATGAAAAAAATATTGCCGACGGTAATACCTAAACGTATTTTTCGCTGAACGTGGGGAATGTCCGGGAACAGATTTGTTGCAATATCAACACGGTCGATGCCCAGTAGAGAACGCGGGTGATCCAGTGGGCCATGCAGCGGTATGTTTCCTAGCTGCTGGTCGAGGGTTTGATTCCCAGTTTAACTCAATTTGCAGCCTTCATGATACCACAACAGCACGTGTTTAACAATAATAACAATATCACCAATGTGCGTATTGATAGAGCGCCATTTCCACACCCCAATGCTTGCTCAACACGCCATATTATTACCCTGGTCAACGCATCCGTGTGCAATCGGTTTTCATTCTCAGTTCCTGCCTGGTACCGATCCAGTGCTGGGTGAACAGAGGCACATTTCAAACAAACCTTGCATAATTAAGGAACACCACATGTGCAAAACAGGACCATCCCTCCAACTTCTGTCCGCGACCATCATTGCTTAACTTCAACTGATTTGTGACCTGTACAGTGGACCACGCGCCACCACGTTCCAAGGTGACATGGCGTCATCAAGTCCAGGGCCCACTTGCACAAAGCGATCTTAGCACTACAGCTATTGTAAGCCTATGTTAAAGTATGGGAGTTACGATCATCTTAGCGCTAAGATCGCTTTGTGCAAGTGGGCCAAGGTGACGTATATAACTGTTGTAATATTTGTTTTCTTCATTTCAGAAAGACGTCCCCAGCACATTTCCGGTTTAAGTTTTGAAAATTGGAATATAATTACATTGTATATTAAATTAACAATGCAACTCAGTTAATTGTTTTCTTGTTATCATTTGAGGAGAGCAATGCGATGTTATCTTTAACAGTGATATCCTTCTTCGTATGTATGCTTTTTGTTTGTTTATTTGTTGTTTAACGCCGCACTCAGCAATATTCGAGCTATATGACGGCAGTCTGTAAATAATCCAGCCAATAACACCACGAGCATTGATCCACGCAAATGGGATACGATGACATGCATCAAACAAGTCAGCAAGCCTGACCACCCGATCCCGTTGGTCGCCTCCTACGACAAGCATAGTCGCCTGTTATGGCAAGCACTGGTTGCTGAAGACCTATTCTACCCCGGATCTTCACGGGTCACCACTGTTGTGTACAAATACTTACATGTGAACCTCCGGATCTTCACGGGACCGTTATGCATGCAGTCAAAAGGATTATGAACAGTAAATCGCTTTGGGAATCCCATACATGGAGAATCTACCAGTGATGAGATCAGCATCGCATGAAGAAGATGCTCGCAGGGGTTTGTCTACGGAGGACTCTATGACATGAAACTACAAGGTATTGATCATTTAGAATTTTGACAGTTTCACATTTTGTAAGGCATATGTTTGCTTTAGTGTTTTTCTGTATTTTGGTCCAATAATTATCAGACCATCATCTGTTTGACTTTGCATGTGTGAGTGGTTGTCTTGGAAACTGTTTAGAACTGATCCCGTTGAAACAGACGATTGGAGTTAGTGTTTTAATTTCATTCTCTTTTGTTTTGTTGTTGTTAACTTTGCGCTCAGTTGTTTGTAAATTATTGAATCTGGTTAAGACATTCCAGTGATCATGACCATGATAACAGTCAACAAAATCAACGAGCCCGACCAGCCGATTCCATTAGTCGCCTCTTTGACACGCCATGAACCAAGTCACAGAGCCTGACCATCCGATCCTTGAAGACGCCTGTTACGATCAGAATAGGCAGCTGGGGACCAATTAGAGCCTCTTTGTCCCCCGGGTTCCCTTTTAATCTTCTTTATGACCAACAATGAAGACCTGAGGACCCATATTACCCTGGATCCCTAAAGCCGAAGTGGTAAACGTCTGAGACCTGCATCACTTCGGCACACCCCCCCCCCCCCCCCCCCCCCACACACACACACACACACACATTAAGCTGACACGCTTTAACTCAGTTAACACCTTTGTCGCGGAGATGTTCTTTGTAATATATCAAACTTCAGTGCTGAATGAAAGGTCACGTCATCGACCTTCAACGCCTGTTCAATAGAACAGTCGGCCGTGACATTAGATCCTGCAATACGATACCTCTGAAGGCTCCTTCATTACAACTAATCAAATTATTATTGTACCTTACATGATATCCTGACCAGATTGGAAATTCATTTTCATGTACACAGTTCCGCAAAGATACTTTGGTACTGGTTTGCCTAATGATAAAAGTGGAAGTCTACAAGAAAATGTAACTGGTCGTTCCTAAATTAAACTAGTCTGAGATCAGAGGACTTCGTTAAACGAGACGTGGTGTCATTCCTATTCTGGTTAGAAATAAAATACATGTTCAGACTGTCAATTATGTTTCAAGCAATGAAATCCTGATATGTACTGTGTGTAAAATATATTGGCATGTGCAGTGATATGAATCTTGATGTCAAATATTCTTGGATGTCAACTGAAGTAGGGAATCTTATTAAAATCAGTTCTTTTCTCATCAACCATTCGTGCGCGAATTTTCAAATGCGTGTCAATGTTATCCTGCTCGTGATATTGTCCCGTGTTCTGTTCGCACCAACCCATATTATGTATACCATGCTGTCTACGTGTGTGCAAGGGAGCATTACAAATACCGGCTCGGCCAGGCAACACACATATATATATATGTAACATTTAGTCAGATATATCAGGTTCCAGACAATGCGACTCAGGCGAGGTTCGGGTTAACTGTGACATGATCGAAATAAAGACTTGCATCGTGTCTTCGACAATATTGGTGACAAAATCCTTTCAATCCATGTGGCTGTGTAAAGGGCGATACCCACTGAAGCCACACATACAATGGTATGAAAATACTTATGTGAACCCTGTTGGTATTCCGGGTTAGAACTGGTCTCTATCAGAATAGGCTTTTCCTACGAGGCGACTAAATGGATCGGGTGCTCAAGCGCGGTTACAGCAGATTGTCTGGTCAATCTAATATACATGTTGCCGTCATATTGTTGAGTGCTGAGTTAAACAATGAAATCATTCCTGAGAGGTTAGAATTACTATTGATGGTCAAACTACAATACACTTATGATGCTATCTTCGAAGAAACGTTATTCTACCCCTCCCCACACACACACACACACGCACGCACGCACGCACGCACGCACGCACACGCACACACACACACACACACACACACACACACACACACACACACCTCCTATCCCGGGAAATACGTGGCAGAAATAGGTCGCCGTACCCATCCATTTCTTAAAAAGGGTATAGATGAGGATGGGATTGTTACAGTGTTTTACCTGGCTTATCTGTACCCATACCATCAACCTCTGGTTTTACATTTACTGTTTACAGGTCGTAATATCTGATCATTTGCTTGAACAGCAGAGCGACACAACGTCTGAACCTGTCTGTGAACCTTGGGTGACAATTGATTACCACGCTTCACGTCGTTGATTGCGCTGACAGTGATTCATGTTATCCAAATGTTGCCTAAATCCTTACGAGGTCTCACCGCAAACTATTTGATTGACATTCCAAAAGTAGAGGAGTACAACTTTATGGCTAACAACTTTTGGCTTATTGCATCAAGATGACGATTCTTGATAACGGTGTCAGAATCTACATCGAAACCAGAGGTTGTTATATGATAGAGGTTCCACCGTATTTCTTTCAATAGGAAGTATTGACTTACATGATAACGTCCTTGATACGTGCGTGTACGCAATAAATGTAATATCAGTTATCAGCAACGGAATCGACTCTTTCATGTACAGAAGGCCCAGACATCAGGCAAACAAACCACAGATCGTTTTCCGGACTCACATTGGCCGCAGATCTCCTACAGTTTGGTTGTGTTTCGGTAGAGCAAAATGGTACTTCGTTTTTTCAAAATGGTGAGTACTTACCTGATAAATAATATGTTCATAAGCTCATTATGGATACTGTGTGTTGTAATAACGCCGCGATACTTGCCTTACTACAATACAAAAGTGAATCTGCACACCCTGTTTATTAAACGCGAGTGGGCCATGGCAAATTCAAGTAAAGTATGTTAGAATTCATGGAGTTTTAAGCTGCATGTACGCTGTAGCCATGCTACTCTGGGGTGGGGTACGGATTGCCCAGTCGCCTAGGGCGTCGCGATTCGCTGTGCAGAGTTGCGTCCCTTGGGCACACCAGAAACCTATGATTTTGGGTTCGAATCCCGGTCCGCCCCGATTATGTTTCTGGGTTTGTCAGCACCATACCCGTGCTCGTGGGTTTCACCGAAGTGGTAAACGCCTGAGACCTGCATCACTTCGGGCTTTCCTCCCACATTAAGCTGACACGCCGCGATATAACTTGAATACTGTTAAAAGCAGCGTTAAACCAAATTCACTCACTCTGGGGTTTCGTGACAATTAAAACTTTATATCGGGGGTCTATCATCAGTGAGGGAGTAGCACAGTGTTACATGTGCATGCCTCCAGCCTTTGAGGGGCGGTCGGGTAGCCTAGTGGTTAAAGCGTTCGCTTGTGACGCCGAAGACCCGGGTTCGATTCCCGACGTGGGTACAGTGTGTGAAGCCCATTTCTGGTGTCCCCCGCCGTGATATTGCGGGAATATTGTTAAAAGCGGCGTAAAACCATACTCACTCACTCACTCCAAAACTAGTTCTGTCCACACCTGATGTTTCTCCACAATGTGTAATCCAGCTGTATTTTAATTTAACAATATTATCTTCACACAGCTTGGATTTATCAAACACAAATGGTCATACAGAAACGTCGTCAACAAGTCTAGAATCATTTAGAACGGTTCAGAAAATGCACAAACACAACGCCAAAATTGAACTTTCCATCATCTTATCATAAGGCATAGTGTTTACAAATCACGTTTCACTTGCATGTATTATATACTATACGCTGATTACATTACATATATTACAAACTTTACACATAAACGATACATACATCCCTGAATTCCTTGTACATTTGACCTTTGCCACATAAACAAAGGGCCTAGATGACATAAAGTGAAATAAATCAGATATAAAAACGAACGCTGTGCTCGAAAAACAAGAAAACAAAGTTAATATTTTACACGTGTAGCCTTGGGTACTTTTTTTTAGAAATCTCCCTGTATACCTCCTTAACATTATGAAGAATATGCCAGGGAATAATATCATTGTAAGAATATGGGAACTAAACATAAAATACATTACAATGACAATTCAACCGACCATGTCAAAGTTTCACTTCTGAGTGACGCCTTAACCGACCGTAAAATCACACTCAACGACGTCGGTCTTTGTCTGCATTTCCAACATTTCCAACTGTTTAACGCCGCACCCAGAACTATTCCAGCTAAATCACGGTGGCCTGTAAATATTCGAGTCTGGACCTGACAATCTAGTGATTGACATCATGAGCATCGATCCACGCAATTAGGATACGATGACATGCATCAACCAAGGTGGTGACCCTCTCCACCTGATCCCGTTAGTCGCCTCTTACAATATGCATTACAGAGAACTTGGATGACATCATGAAAGCGTTGAAAATATGATCAATGAACGAACGTGAAAGCGACTTGTCAAAATTTTCTTGGTTGTGATACTTATTAGAAACCGATAGAATTTGGAAGAGCTCATTGTATGAAAAATATACTACCCCTCATGAAAAGGTTTGATGAATATACGATTTGTAGCGATATCAGGAATTTTTCATTATTTACCAAGAATTAGTAACATTAAACATAACAAATAAGCATATTTATGCATGACTAGTCATCACAAATCAAAATTTTAATTTATGGAAAGCACCCTCTACAACCCTCAAAATAATGGTAGCGCGTTGTTTTGGTCAGCTGTTTCTTATGTCGCGTGACCCAAGCGTTGGTGGGTAGTATAATACACTCGGGGGTGGATGGGTTGTGATGGTCTGGATGGTTAGTGGCATTCATTGCATTCAAACAATCCAAATTGACCAATGTTGTTTTATATTAACAAAACATGTGATAAACGAAATAATAAGTTCAACTCAAGTTGGGTTCTATCAAAAGTCTCAAAGTTAAACTTTTATCAAAAGCGAAAGTAACCTGTCACACCCCTAGGGGCTACATAAGCCACGCCTAATTTCCCGCGTTTCTCTTTATTTGTTGTCTGCTGATTTTATGCAACCGATCTATTGTGTGACGAATATTGTTAAGAATGGCAGGTATTGCTGGAATATTAACCGATATTGGCGGGATTAAGAGAAAATATTCGAAAGACAATCCGGAAGCTGTGAAACGAAGAAATTCGGAGAGCAGAGAAAAGGAAACTTCGCCACGAGGAAAAATTAACTTTTCAGTTGAAAACAGAGACGAGATTGATTTCATTTATGAACAAGCGAAGAAAATCAAAACTTTTCTTGGAGAAGGGAACCCTAATCTTGTGACAAACAAACAACTTCTCGAAAATACTTTCTCATAATATTGAGAAAAATATCGATCCAGTCCGTGCACAAGTCTTAACAGACTGCGATTAGGAACTGCGATCAAGATGCGAAGAAGCTCCGCGATAATATTACGAGTGAGTGAGTGAGTTGGGTTTAACGCCGCTTATAGCAGTATTCCAGTTATATCACGGCGTGTAAGCTTAATGTGGGAGGAAAGCCCGAAGTGATGCAGGTGTCAGACGTTTACCACTTCGGTGAAACCCACGAGCGAGGGTAATTGCTGACAAACCTAGAAACATAATCGGGGCGAACCGGGATTCTAACCCACAATCATAGGGACGCAACTCTGCACAGCGAATCGTGGCGCCTTAGACGACTGGGCCACCCGTGCCCCCGATAGTATTACGAATGTGGTCAATTATAACAAAGATATCCTTAAAAACTGTTCCGAAAGTTCAAGATGTAGACTCGACGCGCACTATGAATCATCCAAAACACTGATTTGTGACCCAAAGGCTGAGCTACTTCTGTGTCAAGCTTTGAAAAGTACTGTTGTGTACAAACACACAACTACGTTCATTGTATGGACTCCGTTTTCATTGAAAGTTTCAACAATTCACTGTTAGAATATAATTCACTGCAAACACGAAAACGTCGTTTTTTTCCGTATATGGTCATTGGACGGAAAAACGACTAAAAATTCATTAAAATTGATTAATTGGCGAGCGTCTAGAAAGTGTCCGGAAAAGGGTCGAGTTTTTCAAGCGTAAAATGGACGGAAAAACGATTATTTGTGCCCCGCCTTGTACAACTGTTAACAGCCAATGAAATGGCGCTGGTCCCCCGACGCACGTGATGCCTAAGGCGTCCTTTCGGTAAGCATAAGGTTTCGTATTTCTGGCATGCCTTGCTCTAGTATCTGTCGCGCGTAGTGCAGCGAGATTAGCAGTTTTAGGATATGTAACATGTTAAAGGAATTCAGACACGCGCCAAGAAGTCAAATCAAACCATGTTACCAAGTTTATTGTGATAACATATCCCTCCGCTATGCACAGATACCTCTATCGGATAATGGGTTGTGTTTCATTTGGTTATAACAGTAACTATTTTTTTATGTGAAGTTTACAAGATATACGGCTTTTCCATTGGAGGAGAGGTCGGTCACATGACGTTTTTCACGTGACTATATTCCTGAAATGACATAAACACTGACCACTTCCACATTCCTGGGGAAAACCCTGAGAATTCCCTGGTACATGTACGAATTCAAACAGAAGCGTTGTTTCTTGTCATTTAGACCCTTTAATTTTGAACTTAGCGTCTTAGCTTAGTCTGGGATAAGTCAGAGAGTTTGGTTGATATAGATAGATGATATAAAATAGATGATATAACCAAAATCCAGGCGCTCCGCCGGGGGACTTACTGGTCTTGTTATTGTGTGGCTTGAACTGTGACGTAGACCCAAGAGAATAATGTAAAAAATGAGACCAACTCAAGTCTATAATGATTTGGAAAGTCTAGATTTCCACAGCTCTAGTCTGAAATTAAGAATAGCGCGGCATCCTCACTTGTCATTGTGTGCCTGGACCCTGTCACGAAATATATTCGCCCCCAGAATAAAATCTCCCCCCGGCGAATTTATACCGGTACAGTTCCGCCCCTCTCGAAATAAACTCTCCCCCCACCTACGAAATAAAATCTCCCCCCAGAATTCCACCCCACCCCCCCCCACCCCCCCCCCCCCCCCCCGCCCCCCCCCCCCCACCCCCCACCCCTTTTCGGTCGTTTATATAAATACTTGCCATGCGTGTGTAATCGGTTAAATTGTAAGGTATACATTGTAGACAGACAGACAATAATGTATTAATGTCCCACTTCTGTACATACATAAAACAGCTTTGTGCAAATAAACATTGATAGAATGTACAGAACCATTCAATAGAATTATGAGAGATTATAAACAGAATATCCCACTGCTAAGTATATGATACATTGTTGAATTAACATTAGATAAGGTTGAGAATTAAGTGTGTGTATTTTCAATACATCTCAGACTGGTGAGCCGTCTGCTCGATGATAACCAGCCTACTCATATTTTTACCCTTTTCCCCATTGTTGGAAAGTGTGTCGTCTGCTACAACAGCTGGAGCCATCTGGAAACAATTAATCACAAGCTGTCAATACACAATACATTATAATACATCAAGATGGCAGTTTCCATGTAACGATTAAGTATTTCTAAGCAACTTAAAGATATGCACAATATCTAGATATATGTATCTTTAATTTGCTTAGAAATACTTAATCTTTACATGAAAACTGTCATCTTGATGTATTATTCTGTTTTGTATATTGGCAGCTGGCGATTGATTATGAGGTTATACTGTATCATTTTTACTGTTTTGATATTTTTCAATATGTTGTGGTCATCAGTTATGCAAATCAGGTTTCGGTGTGTCTTTTTAACAAGGTGT